CAATCGATTTAATACTGTGAAAGTGAACACACGAATCACTGTCAAGCCTATGAAGCTCTTCGTTAGATGCGCCAGCTAAACTAGTGTCAATACCTGAAAAGCTTTTATTTTTTTTCACTTTTGATAATTTTTTAATTGCGTCATCAACTTGGTTTGAATCTAATACATTTCGCAAAATAAACTCAAGCGAATGATATTGTAAGTCAACTATATATGGACCAGACAAATCATCTAAATATTTCAAGACCTGACTTCCAGACTTAGGATTAAAAAATATAAAATTACTAAGCATTATTTAGTAAATGGATGACTATTTCAATTATAGTTAAGCATGCGCTCCTATTGCACTCATAGGAAATGCTGGTCCACTTAATACTAAAAAGAGAATTTATCAATTTGTTTGTTAGATAATTAATTATTTGTCCGCGCTAAATTATATGCACTATCAATAGAACTTCTCCGATTTTGTTTTATTGGAGGAAAAGAAGGAGCAACTTTTTTTACCCACGGTCTCAATCCAAATCTTCTTCTAATGTATTGAGGTTTTGAGTAATTTCGCGTTTCTTGGTTATTCGAGAGAGTTTTCGGTACTGGTCGTGGAATAGAATGCTCATTCATATTTGTTGTAAAGATAGGAATTGCGGGGTTATTTTGATGATATTTATTTTTTAATCCTAGTACATTGTTTATAAAGTCATCAATCACTGTTACGTCATAATCTTGTTTTTTATGTATATCTACCGCATCTGAACTTGTTTTTTTATTGGCTTCAGAAAAAACTTTTTGCTTCATGATTCCAAATAAAAAAGCGGTTAATTTAGAAATCAAGTCGTGATGATCATTGTGATCTAAAATCTGTTGCAACAAAGGAAAGTTGAAATCATTGATACCTAACAAATTTTTTGGATCGCCATAATAGAAACAAGCCATTAAATATAAACTACAAAATTTCCAATACGTTTTGAGTAACTCAACAAACGTAGGCTGAGCCAAAACTAACTTTTGCTTAACTATATCGTTGAATTTATTATATGATTTATCTATCATTTCGTTTAATTCCATGTCTAAAACAAATAGTTCAGATTTGTTAGGATTTACATCGTAAAAAGCGTAATCTGAGTTTACCTTATGCTCATTACTTCTCCCCGTACTTGATGGAGAATTATAACACGACGGAGACTCAGATTCTAGCATTAAGTATGTTTGTATTAAATCCTTAACTGCAGTGTAAGTACTTCTAACATTATAACTTGCTGCAGTTTGCAATAATTTTATCTGAGTGTTTGTTAAAACATTTGGAGTGAACATACTTAAGTAATCATACAACGTAACATTATTATTAATTTTGATTTCACCAACTTTGTGCAAATTTTGTAAATTCAAACATTTGAAATCATCGTTATTCTCGTTATAACAAATATTTTGAAGTTTTAACAAGATTTGAAAGATTAAATTTATCTGAGGATTGCAAACTATGCTTTCAATACAGTCATTGATACAATCTAGTCTTGATTTTAATGAGTTTGAATGAGTATCAAACGATTCTATTATGTATAACGCTCGCATCTGATTTTTTAGTTTTGGAACACAGTAAAGAAAATACAAAAATATTTCATCTTCATATAATTTATTTCCTTTCTTTTCCGCAATAGAAATATTTCTAGCCGCTGTTATTAATTCAGGCTCATTATAGACATCCACTAATGATTCAGAAAGCAAAGAAAATAAATCTTTAGATAATTGGAATGATAATACACATTTAAGTAGATCGAGTAATGATTTAGATATACCCAGATACTTCTTCAATGCGTGAATTAATATTCCAAACCGCTGACCGAACTGTTTGGGCACTAACGACAAACGTTTATCAAAAGCAACATTTTTTTTTACACTCATATTAACAGGATCAGAATTTTTTTTAAACCATAAATCAACTGTGTCTTTTTTTGTAGCCTGTTCGAAATAGTTCAAATACTGAGTTATGGAATTAGAGTCATATACAGAGTCGAAGTTATATGCCCATGACAATGGAATTTTTGAATAGTTATCAATAAACTTACTCAATGCATCAAGTAAGTTGTTTGGTAACATAGAAACATCAACCTGTGTAACTGTGGGCGGACTAACTTTTAAAGGTTTTAAGTTAATAAAAATATATTCACGCTTAGAAATGTTCGAAATAGTAGATTCAAGTTGTTTAGGAGGTTTTTTTTTTGGAACTTCTCCTTTGCATTTAGCCGGCTTGATAATAGACCCTTTTTTACTCAGAGCAGTGTCGTTTAACATACTAGAATTAATATAAACATCAAACTTACTTGTTGATTATAGCTACATCTGACGGATAGTTATCCCGTATGTGTTTTGCCAAACAGTCAATCTAAGAATTTAATTTTAGACACACTTACAATACTAATCAACGTGTCCTTTGTTTGTAGTTGTATTGTTCGCTCGAACTCAAAAAAAACCATAAGATAAGCTCTGTAACGATTTATTGGGAAATATAAACACGTAAAAAGTAACCTGTGTCTTGTGTTCTATGAGACATCGAACTATTAATTCAACATAAATTATTTATTTTTTAAGGCTGTATAAGATGAAATTATTGTTAGTTGCGAGTATATTTTCCACAATTTTAGTTAATAGTTCAACTATTTCTCAAGATGGAAATGCGGTAAAAGATACAGAAATTTTTGTTAATAAAGCAGATCTATCCGGACTGGATTTAGTTCTTTCTTCCGCAGCCGCTCAATTATTCGGAACAACTGTAGTACCTTTATTCCGTCTAACTTCATTTTTTTACAAGACTACTACGCAGATACTTTACAATCTTTTGTTTTTTAATGCTCAGCCTGATGCTCCAGCTCCATTTTACGAGGTTGTTCGAGAAACTATCAACTCCTTTGCGGACAGCACAGGAATGATAACTTCAGCCGTAGAGATTGATGAATTCATTAACAGACTAAGCAACAACTTGAAAATCAAGAGCCCATTAGAGTTCGAAAAGATAGCAAGACTTAAGAAGGATATCAAGAGTATTTTGGTTCATTACCCTCTTGTAACTTGTGGTTCATACTTGGAATACTTGTCAAGAGTATTAAATACTTTCCAAACCAAAATTAACAATGGAACTCCTACCCAAGAATATCCACCAATGACAATTCCACTAAGAGGATCAATTACATCTCCTCTTAATATAGATTTATATGGCGACAATGGTGTAACTGAACATGTCATCAAACATCCTAATTTCTGGCAGTTTAATAAATATGGTTATACCGGAGGTTTAAACAATGGTATATGGAACATTCCATCGTATATTGAAAATAGAATCAAAGATTTTGCTCATCATTCACATATACTCAATTGGGTTGATAACATCACTCCAGATCCAATTTTTAACATCAATCACACTACTAAACCTGTTAATGCCACAACAACTATACCAGTTACTACTGTACCTGCCACAACAACTATACCAGTTACTACTGTACCTGCCACAACAGCTTCTACCAACACTACAGCTCTACCGGCAGCCGTACCTTTCCCACAAGAACCTTGTCAGCAATTCAGCTGTGAAGACACCCCATTGGTTATCCCAACTTATGGACCTTTTGATTATTCTCTTGTTAATCCAGTTATCAACTCAAACGTCGAAATCAGCGAAGATGTCTTTAATTATGATATAAGTTACGATGTACCAAAACAGCAAAATTCCGCCAGCATCTCTTACACTTATATACCAAACGATTCAGATAATACAGTTAATGACGTATATTACGCTTCTGTTAATCCAAATCTTGTTATTCCCGAGGAATCGACAAATTATGAAGATAAATCACAAAAACCAATTACTAAAAACGATCCCAAAAAAGGTATGAGTGCTCCATATGTTACCATGAAAACCGGTATGGAACCAATTTTCAATCCTGCTTATTCTGGAATGAATGTATTAGGCGCTTTAAGTAACATCAAGTCCAATATAAAAGATGCAATTAACGGAGTCAATCCATACAAACTTCTTTCAAACGATCAAAAAAATACAGAAAACTTTGTTTGGAGCACACCTGATGCTTCCATCTTTTTAGTACAAAAACTCGAAGCACTTAAACCTTCATATATGAGCTCTGTTGAATTCTTGAAGAGAATCTCTGATTTGATAAAGTCTGCTAAAAAGACAATAACACCCTCAGAATTCATCATGTTAATTACCAGTAGAATTCCTAATCCCGAATTGTCTGAATCTGCTCGGGCTTCATTTTCGTCTTACATTGGTAATCTGTTTGAAGGCCCATTCTCAAGTTTTGATCAAGTTTTGAAACATATTTACGAAGTTATTGACAAAAAACTTCCGTTAATTTCAAACTACGGTGGTGTAGTAGTCGAACATTAATATTTATAATTATTTGTCAATTTAAAACTTTAATTTTTCTTAAATATCTTGTTCTCATTGGAAAAATTATCATTTTCAATAATTCGTTTATTTTTTATAGATGTATAATAGTTTGGAAAGTCAAATTTTAATTTGCTATCTAACATGTTTACAGCATCGTTAATATTAAACGGTTCTATAAGTAACCAATTAAGCAAAAAACTTACTGACATCAAATATGGTATAAAAAGAACGATAAGAGTTGTGTAACGTTGTCTCCTTTCTAACCTTTACAGTGAATATATAAGACCTCCATAAAACTTTGTGCGTTAATAATTCATTTATAAATACCGTATCATGTAGTTTTTTTGACAATTCTTCAGCCGTACAGCCAAATATTGTTTGTAGCGCACTATTAAAAACGGCAAATTCCACGTCACACATAGTTGTGTCTGTCAAATTGATTTTCCCCAACATTCTTTTCGCAATGTTAGTTGTTGAGCAGTGTGGACAAACAGTAGAGTTGTGCACTTTTTTATTACAATTCAAGCAACCGTCGTAAATTAAACTAAGCGAGTTCTCATCGAGAGTATAAAATATTCTTGAAATGTACGCAATTACGGTATAATATTTAGCCTCTTTGTCTTCTATTGGAGTCTTGCAAATATCTTTCAAATCCTAAAAATATTAATTCATTTAAACTTACGACCAGTTCGGCTGAATAATCAGATTGGAAGTTGGTTTCCATGTTAACTATTGTTAAATTAGATGAATGCTCTTTGTACCATTCAATTAACTGATAATCGTCCTCATTAAGATTTTTCATAATCAAACTATTATTTAAAAATGTACCTTCGATAGCTTGTCTGTTCTCTTTTATCTGGCATGATACGATTTTGAGAATTTCGCCAACATGCATGTCTTCATAGTACTGAGGCTTCCAAAAATTAATTCTAATTCCATGTTTTGAAGCATCGACAAGTGTAACAGTGAAGACTTGCATAGCCTCATTATCTTTTGTTGTAACTGATCTAATTTTACCTACTTCATGAATAATGCCTTTAATATTAGTAATAAAAGGGTATTCATTGTTCGATTTGATTACGCTGCGAATTGAATGAAAAGTATAAGAAACGTCCGCTCCAATAGACTCTTCCCCAGTACAGGGTGTGATATCGCATTTTTCTAATGAATTAAAAACTAATTCAAACGGGCAAAGAGATGCATTGGAATATCTTCGATTTGGAACTTTCACTAACCCTTTACTAAAAGTATAAGTTTCTCCAATTTTTAAAACTGAAGAAACATGAATAGCAGCAGAATTCCAAAATACTGCTGTGATTTGCGATCCATTCTCATCCATAAGTGTGGCATTTAAATATTGACCATTCGCATTGGTAATTTTATTTTGAAAACTATTTAATGGACTAATACTTATAACTTTGGCTTTTAAAATCCATCCTTTAGACGCTAAATTTAAATTTTCTATTGACCAATAATGTTGTCCCATTCTGCTGCGAAATAAAAAAGTGAGAAATAATTATTCATCACATGTATTAGGAAATATAAATATAAAATAAAGTAAGGTAAAAATAAGAGTAACCGTACAACTACTATTTCAATAATAAACTCATAATATATTTTATATGATTGTGCGGATGAATTGATTATTAAGGTGCATTGTTATGTCAATTTATTATTCGCATTCAGACAAGAGAAAAGGGCCCTTGAATTGCTCTGATACGTCTAATTGTCATACATACCCTCTTCATCATTATATACGAACGGGAGATTTTGTTGCTCTCTTAAAAGCCATAAAGTAGGTTTCAGTATTATATAATTTATTAGAAAAGGTGTTTATTTGTACGAAAAAGATCCTACTGGATCTACTCTTTTAGATCTAGCTCTCCAGTTGATTGAAAATCTGCTATTTTTAAGTTTGTGTACATCTTTGTCAATTGATAATTTTTTATCACAGGATAAACTTAATGAAATCTTGCTTAAAAATCCCAATGAAATAGAAAGTTCTCGGTATACTAAAACTCTTTCTGGCCTAGAGAATGATATTAAAACATATTCGTTAACTAGTTTTATATCTGATGAAAATGACATTAGCAATACTAACAAATTTGAAAAACCGATTAACAAAGCGCAAAATTATAATAAATATTATGCAAAAGAGGAACAAAATGAAGATAGTTCATATTTTCTTAAAAATATTTCTAGTCAAATTTCGGTTTCATACCAAAAACTACAAATGATTAACCAGGAAAGTAAAATATTTAAAGCCATGTTTAAAACTATTAATTTAAATGTATCTAAACAGTTAAAAATACAATTCAAATATACCTTAAAACGATTTGATTTTCTAACTGAGTTATGTAGGTATTTGATTACAGAGCAAAAAAAGTATCTTGCTAGCAAAGATATAGAATTAAATAATCAGAAAATAGAAGTTAAAAGCATGTTTTCTAAATTAACTATGCCACTAATGTACACCACATTGATACAAGTGTTACTTTCTAAATATCCATGCTCAGTTTGGAACAAAGCTTGGGAAGTTGACAACTCGTTTCATATTAGAATATTATGCGCCACAGTCTGTAAATTCAAGTATCCTGGCAAATACATAATTTTATTTCTTGCTGAGTTAATGACGATATGGGCTAGGCTTTACAATGAGCTGCCTTCTAACTGTATAAGATTTATTCCGCTGACAGAGTATTATTTGTTACATATATCTTTTGTTCTTGATGTGCCTGAATTTTTCGAAGGACTAATTAAGAATAAATCAAAAGAATGGATCAAAGGATCGCCTTTTAATTGGGATATTGTTTTAAAAGAGATTAATAAAAACTCTGATTCATTCAACCCTGTATACAAAAATACATTGACGAAGTTGCTTCAATAAAATCGTAATCTATTGCCTCTCTCCGTTTAAGATATTTATGTCAGTTTTCAAGCACCATGCGGGTGCTTGACAAGTTTAATTTTGTATCGATGAACAATTATGCTTTGAGCTTAACTACAATGTTTTTAGAATCTATAGTTCCAATAGTAGATCAAAGCCGTCCGTATCAAGATCTTCAATTGCCAATCGACTGCTTTTTATTCACTCGTACCGAGGTGTTATATTTTTTGCAATCAACGTTGGAAGAACTGAAAAACAAATTCAAATGTTCAAGTAACGCTGAACTTTTTAGCAAACTAGGGATTCAATTTGTTTTTTTCTCTGTTAAGCAAAAAGCTTGTTTAAAATTGAAAAAAAAGTTTCCGTGGATTCCTAATGTAAACAATCAGTTTTATTTTACATTATCATCTCAAGGGTTTGGTTCCCAAGATCAGAATCAAAATTGATTTAAGATTTTTTGTCTTATTTATAAAAGCAGCGTGGTGCATAGTTTTCTATTAAGAATATGGCCTATGACTTCAGAACACATAAGATTATTTAGTAATGATCATTATAGGGATAAAAAAAGTCAAAACAAAGATCAGTCGTCTTTACATAAAATTACAGCTTTATGTAAAACTTTTTCTTCCAATAGTCAAACTAAGTTAGATATTGTTGATTATTCCTCAGTAATTCCTATATTTAAGAATTATAGGCAAAAAAACTATGGAATTTTTATATTAGTTCTCGCTCCACAAATTACTGTTGATTTTACTGCACATAGTGATATTTACACAGTTTTTAAAAATTTGCGATTTGCAAGTAAGTTACAGCGTCATGATAATAATTTATTTTGTGTAATAAACAGCCAAGAACTGTGTAAAATTCAAGATGATCAAGTTGAAATTTATTTAAAAAGTTTAAATCACTCACCTATATTCATCAAAAATATGCGTGATTACTCAATGTCGAATCTCATGAATTTTCTAAAAGTTAAGTTTGTTGATATGAACCAAAAAATAGAAAATTTTGCCGACTACTACACAGATAAAAACGCGCTTGACAAAACCTTAAATCATACAAGCTTTCATTTGGCTCCATACGAAGTCAACAATTTAGCCATTTGGAATATTTATCGACTTTTTAAACTGAAAATGGATATCAATAACCAAAGAATTAAATCAAGTGATTTATCAGCACGAGCAAATATTTTAAACAAAGATTTGGAAAACACAATTTATACTTTATCAGCAAGTATTCAAAAGATATTATTATTAACTGCTTCGAATAACGAAGTCTCACTTAATTATAACGAGCTTTCAAATCTAATAGCTGAAATAGATTTATATTTAGACAATAAAGAAGAAATGAGATCAGGTTATTTTTTAAAAAATTACGAGTCCATAGTTTCGTTGTATGAAAAAGAAACATTTAATGTTCCTCAAGTTTTAACTTCGTCGCTATATTTAAGCCTTTCATTACAAGAGATGAAATTCATTGAACACGCGCATAGCTTTGTTACTTATCTTTTATCTTCAGAAACTAATGTAGCTAATGTATTTACTAAAAATCGACCAGGAGATAATTGTATAACAGTTTTCGGGTTTTCCTACAAATTTTCGCATATCTCAAATAAAAAAATTGGAATATTAGAAAAATTTCAATGCACTCCTGAAAATATTGCTGATTTAAGAAAATGGACTTATCTCGCTGAAGTTTCTTGTAAGAAAAATGACACAGCGAAAAATTTTGTTATTACAAAAAAAAATCTTGACAAATTTCCTTTGTTTTGCACAGAACAAAACATTGGATTTAAACTAGCACCGGAAATATTCATATATATCGAAAAATGGCCGAATCATTTAGTCCCATGTAAGAAAAATCCTAAGCTATCAAAGAATCTGTATTTGTTGGTTATAAATATTCTAGGAGTATCATATTATAGTCTGACAGGAATTTCATATGATTTAATATCCTATGTTCTTGTTGATTGGCTTAATTTTGTACCTCCAGAAGTTGAATTAATAAGTGAAACAATTTGTTTAACAAATTGAAAACTTTAAAATTTGGCAAAAACTCATTTTTTTTAATTAAATGTGTTCCAAAATATATTTTATATTTTTATTTAGACTAGCTCCATAATGAGAAATTGTATTATTAATTAATATGTCAGAGTTTTATTTTTGTGATAAATTATCAAAAGACCACTTCAAAAAAGTTATCAACACGATACAAGTGTTGAAAGAAAAAAATTCTATTGAATCTTTACAAAAAGAATTCTCCGACTGTTGTGAATCTGATGGTCTCGATACAAATAAAAATTTAACTCAAAGTGAAAAATCTGCATGTACGAATTCTTCTACTATTCACGAAAATAATTCGAAGTGTGGATTTAAAAACAATACCAAAAATCAAAGGCAGTCAGACTGTTGCTCACAACAGTATCAAAACCAATTTTCGAATTCTATCCCGCAAAAGAATTGTTGTTCTAACGCTCGACCACAAAAAAACCGTCACCAGCAACAACCAAATTATCAACCGATAAATTTGCCTAATAATACTAAATCGCAACATCCTCCGGGAAATTACCATGGTAGAGTTCCCATTCAGCCTGCTTCTGTTTATCATTACACCCCTTCTCCATCATATCAACAAGTTACTTTTGTTCCAGTACATCAAAGTTACTCAGCTAATGTTGTTAATCCACCCAATCAATATTACTCTCCTATGACCATATCAACTAATACACCCATGTCCATAACGCCAAACACCCCTATGACTATATCGTCAAATACACCTACCAACATATACGTTCCTTCTCAACCTAAACCAGCTCGTATTAATGTACATTATCATAATTCAACGGGCTGTTGTGATTGTAATAAATTAATTTTACCACGAAAATAATACATTATTTATTTGATTAGAGAAACAAATAAAGCTGGCAATCTATAAAAAAAAAATTTATATTTACTTAATTAACAGACATATAACCAAAGAAATACTTCATCATAAGAAAAAATAAAACATAATATTTTCTTGTAAATAATTAAATTTTTTTTCGAATTTCGTTTATTAAGTAAAAAATAATCACTTAAATTTTCAATAAACACCACTTGTCAAAATTATGTCTAAACCAACCTATTTAATCATTCGTGTAAGATCAGATGTGTTTTATAAAGAAATCTAACTTGTAATTTTAGATAAATGCTGTAACGATATACTTTTACTAAAACCTTCAAAACTAAACAATTGTTTAAAAAACAAGTACGTTTATACATTAAACATAATGTTAAAATACATATAATATGAAAAATAAATATTGCCTAGTTTGTTTAAGTTCCACATCATTACTTATAATCAAATAAATAATTCCTGCAACACTAAAAACTCTCAAGAAAAAAATTCGTACCGGAATTATGATATATAAAATCACTATTCTTTATTTCTGTTGATTTAGAAAAACATTTCCACATATGTAATGTAATATTAGTTTTATATCCCATTTTGTTAAATACTATATTACTATCACGTGGGTACGTATTCTATACAATTTATTTTTCTATTTTTGGAATTTTTATAATTTATTAAACTATATTTTATCTAAATATGATAAACATTTTGTTACGTATCTTTACCTATTTTATCGTTGATATATCCTATTAAATAATACAAACAATTCAAGTTAGTTTGGTAAATTAACTGATAATGCAATATATTAACAACTCTGATAAATCCCGTAATTTAATAAAGAATTTTTGTTTATCAATTATGTGTATTCAGTTATAAATAATTGTACAATCAGATTGTATCTCTATTCAGCATAAATTAATTTTCTTAGACCGTTTAGTCATTTAATATATTTTTATTTTATTTTGTATAGAATAAATTAGCAATATTCTAGATCATATACGATAAACAGAAATTAAACTTTTCCAATAATGTCAAAACTTTCAACTAGTAGGTTTTAAATTTATATAAAATATGAATAGTCAAAATCAGGGATTTGTACATTCCAGAGGATGTAGAAACAGCATTTACTGATGGTTTATATGAAATTATTAACCATCTAAAAATAGACTTAAGTCAGAAATGTTTTTGGTTGTTTTGTTTTACAGGATTACTATCGACCGGTTTGTGCGCGGGTAGTTTTTTTTCATCTGGAACTAAAAACAGATCTTTTATAATTACTTATATTTTAATCGCTTACTATATAATAGCTGTTGCAGCTTATACAGTTTTAAACGCTCAAAAGTTCATACTTGGATATTGCAAACCTAAAAACTCAAATGAACGGTATTATATTTTAAGATATTTTGATACAGACACTTTAATGTACAAGATTGTAATTACTCCCATGGCTGACTCATTAATAACTATATTGTACAAATTAACAATATACAGTTCACGCGAAAAGATTAAAAAAATTATTTCATCGTTTTCATTTTTTGATTTTACAGCTTCAATCCCACGTGAAAATAAAGATTTAGTTCTAGGGTCAGAGTTCGAGTTGGATGATAATGTATTATTGGAAAATGTATTTAATTACTTAGTTTTAAATCAAAGACCACAAGCTGCAGCTTCTGAAAACAAAAAATCTGTTAAAATTGATAATACTAATTCAAAAAACAATAATATCAAGCAAAGACAAACAAAGAAACAGACGAATATTCCTCAGAACAAAAAAAAATTAACAAGAATAAAGTCATCTGAATTTTATATTGGAAAAGTTATAGACACGAATAATGAATTAATTGTTTCTGAATTTTTAGAAATAATAAATACAACCAAAATATTTGACTTTTTGAAGTAATGGTTCGGACTGAAATATGAAAAAAAACTATCGTATTTATATATTTTCGTTAAATTGGATTATTTTAAATGATATTTCTGAAATTATAATAAACATTAAGTAAAAATATTTATTAATCCATGAAAGTCAATAACGCTCGATCTGAGCATTTTATGTTTCCAAAGTTTGATTTGTTTAGAAGTTAAGTCTATTATTCCACTGTAATTTTCACGAGGGACGTTGGTAGTTGAAATTTTAACATTAATGTCTTTAGGAAAAATTTGATTTGACAAATAAGTAATTTCAATCTGCCGCAGTGTTATCCAGTTAGCTTTGGCGAAGTATGACAACCAATTATCTCTAGGTTTCACAATTACACAAATGTCGTTGTTATCACATTTCAAAGGATCAATTGTAAAAATCCTAGAATAACGTTTCAACTTAGAATTATAGTAGCTGATCATAGCTTCTTCTTCATACTTTAAATAATTTTCGAAATTTTCAGTAGCTTCTGCAGACTCTTCTGGTAATATAATTCCATGTGCATTCGACAAAATTTTGTCTAATTTCATATCTCTTAAAACAATTTCTGTTTTTATTTCTTTCAATTTTTTGAGTTCTTCCAATTTTTCATCGATTAAATTATTTATTTCATTAATTTCAACGTCTTGAAATTGCTTGAGCTTGTTGTAAATAGTTTTTAACTCATTAAATATCAAGGTTTTGTCTTTGTGTAGCTTTTTAAACTCGATCTCCCAGTTCACGACTGAAAAATCCTTTGAAACTTCTTTAAATTGATCTTCAGACTGATGCAAACCGTTTAAAATAAGTTTTCGTCTGTTTTCAATGTTTTTAATTAATTCAACGCAAATGATCATGGATTGTTTTACTGAATTTATTTTTACTTTTCCTTCATTTATGATTTCATTATTTTCTAAATCATCAGTTTTCAAATTATTGTTTTCAAAATATTTTTCATTCTCTTCGTTTTCAAGAGAAATATATTCATTAACGGAAGAGTTTGGAATTTTGCTGATTTCATCTAGCAAATTATATAATTTTACTAACGAGATCAATAATCTCCTCCAATATACATTTCGAATTTCATATTGTTCAACGAGCTTTTCAATTATTGGTATCTCTAATTTAAAACTAATTTTGAAGGGCTTTTCAAAACTGTTAATAAGACTACAAATAACTCAAATTATAAACTTACCTATTCAGTTCATTAAGTAAAGATGGTAACATGCTATGTTAATTGTGCCTTATATGTTCTTTTATTGCATTATATTTTAATTTTCTATTTAATTATTTTTTTAGTAATTACTTATGAAATAATTTTATGTAATGAAATTTGGTTTTGCACATTCATTATTTTCCTTAACAAACTTGTTTTTGACACTTTGGAATATAGAAGATTGTTATTTTCATTGTCTTATTTCGCCAAATAATAAACATGTCAATAAAGTAAAGTTTTTAGTTACTCATAATGATCATGGAGATTTTAATGCAAGAAAAGCTAAAGATAATACGATTTATTCTCATTCTGAAAATTATACTTCAAGTATATTATTAAGTGGGCATATTCCGATAGTGGGTTTAATTTTATTTCACGTTGAAGTTAACATATTTGACAAAAGTTCGATACAAAAAATTTATGTAGATTATTTAAACCAATTCAAATATTATTACATTTTAAATTTAAATAAGTCTATTGATAGTCTTTATTTGAAGAAAAATTATATTATAACTTTAAATGATGATAGAATTACACAAACAGTTACATACAAAAACAATAGTTCGCTCAAGTTGTATAGTTTTCTTAAACCTAAATCATTAATTTATAAATGTTGTCAGTATTTTAACGGTATTCTAACAAATAAATTAAGATTTGTCCAAAGTTATGATTTAAAATTTAGTAAAAAAAATAAGATTATCGAGTTAATTCAGGATTTGTCTATTTTTCCAGATGCTAAAATAAATAATTTAATTAAAAATTATGAATACATGTTGCAATATATAATATTGCGACTTTTGGTTAAATATTCACAAGTGATAAAATTTTTTGAGTTTAATAAAATCAGAACTTACAATTTCCAAATACTAAATCAAAGTATAAATAAAATTAAATATAATAAAATGATACGTGAAGTTGTGAAATGTAGACTTAAAACATTCATCATTTATCTAAAAACTTTTTGTTCACATGTGGAAAACAATCATAGTCTTAAATTGTTGATCATTAACGTAATTTTACCGTTCCGAAAATTAAGAATTTTATTTGCGAATGAGAAAAACTATATTTTCAATATATTAGTAAACAAATTCTTTTTACATCCATCTCTATCTAATAGCGATGAACATGGTTTATTAAAAAAAACAAAAATGGTAGGAAAATAATTTAGTTAATTTTGTTTAGATTACTGAAGTTGTTCAATTTCAAATAGGCAATCAAAGATATAAAAAAAAATTTTTAGTAGATTCTGGTTCGCCATATTTTTTAATATTTTTAACTATCAAAGAAGTTAACGATAATGTGTATTTACTAAATCTGATTAACGAAGTAACTGATTATAAAATACATAAGTTAGATTTAATAGGTGAAACGATATTGTTTCGAGAGATAACGGCCTCAGGTATGTATCAAATGATCAAATCGATTTCTAGTGATAAAGTTTCAAAATTTTAATTTAAAAAATATAAGAATAGGATTAATATTGAATGGTGAATTTCTTGGATCGTTAAAAGTAAGTTTCTTCTTAGATTCTATGCTAGTACAACCTTTCTGGTATAATAGGTACACAATATTCGTCAGTACATGATGATTTAGATTTTTTAGATCAATTAATCAATCATGTAAGTTAAAAAATCATATATTTGCTAAGGAGAAACTCAATGAAAATAATAAACTTGAAATATATTATTATAATGATAACGAATATATTCTGACTAAACCTTATAACACGGATTTTTTTTTCGATCAATCATTATCATTTTATGTTGAAAATGTCAGAAATAAAGCCGCAAAAGCTAATTTTCAGTATATTAAAGTAAGTTTAGTAAAAATATTATTTTAGGCAACGAGACTAGTTTTATCGGAATATAATATTATTTTATCTGATTGTATAGTGATATTTGACTCAGGTTCCGATTTTTTATTTTTTTCGCCTTGTAAGTTATTCGATGCGCAAATATTATTAGCTATACAAGATCTTTACCTAAAAAAATACTATAGTGAGAAAAATTCGGCTAATGCACCAAAATGGCTACTTATCGAAGCAGAGGTAAGTCTAATTAGGAATAACCTTTAGAATATTCATAAATCAAAAGTTCAATTTAAAATAAACATCACTAAAGAAATGAAAAAAGTTGTTAACGGTGAGAGATGGTACTTCAGTATTATATGCAACAATAATTACTGGGCTGAAATGCTTAATTGCAACAGAATAGAAAAATATAATTATGTATTCATAGGCGTTGCTATTTTAGAACAATATAATTTGAATTTTTCGATGTAAGTTAAGTCATGCATTCAATTATAGAATACCAATGTATAGAACCACGATTATTAGTTTAGATGCTACAATATTTAAGTCTGGTCATAAACGGTAGCCTATTAGATTCCCAATTTGAGTGCAATTAGATAAGTTAATTTTAGAGAGACGCTCTCAGCACCTTTGTTTAAATATAAATAAAGAAAATGAGAACTAACTACTTTGCTTCATTATTGCTTATTTATAATTCGATAAAATTTTCAGCTGGAAAACAGATTTGCGATGCAAATTTAATTTGTGAAAACGGTTTTATTCTCGAAAATAAAAAATGCGTAAAAGAAATCGTTCAGCCTGTAAATTATCACTGTCCTTTGGATTATATATTTGACGAAGTCGAATGTTACAAAACTTCCCCATTGTCGATTAAATGCCCACCTGGTTCAGAAACTGTTGGTAAAGGAAACTGCAGATTTAAAGTAGCTCGACCAGCACAGCCAGTTTGTCGAATCGGATTTACAGATAACGGTACTGAATGTGTGAGTGAAGAATATTTAGACATAGTTGAGTATTGCGAACAGGGACATAGAGAAGGAAATTATTGTGTCAAAACTGAAATACTTCCGTACGAAATCACTAAAAGTTGTTTAGAAAATTACGAACTAACGAAGGACGGTGATTGTATCACTCAGCAGACTTATGACTGTACGCCTCCAGATGTTCACCACGACAACAGAAAACTTATGGGTATTTCCAAACCAGCGGCAGCTAAACTCAACGTGAAAAAACAAACTTGCTATCGCAAAGAAGTAGGAAAAATAATTATCAATAAGTCGTGTCCCGAAGGTAGTGAAGACACTGGGGAGAGCTGTGTTATCAAACAAAAATTTAAACTACAAAAAAAATGTATAAACGGACTAGACGTAAACAATTGTAAAACAATTATTAAAGAACCTTATAAGTACGATTGCGAAGATGGCTATTTGGAAAGAGGAATTGTCTGCAACAGATATGTACACGCAGAACCTATTCAATATTGTGAAAGAGGGTTGTTGTTAAATAACGAATGCAGAGAAGTTCATCCTATGATTCCATCATGTCCCGTAAAACTAAAGCTTGTAGGCGATGTTTGTGTTGGTAAAGAAATTAAAGAGCCAATTTCCTCATGTTTAGCAGATTGTACGGGAGAAAATTGCAATAAAAAAAATTAATAAAAATTGACTGTACATAACTCAATTTTTTATTTGTTTACTCTTTCATTTGTGTTTTGAAGCCACTTGTTTTTTTCGTGATTATTCCGCTGCTATAACTGTATTTATTTTATAATGATTCTCTAATTTAAACTTTTTGTTGTTATTGTTTTTTATTTTACTAATGTATTGGTAAAGATGGTTTTACAATGTAGAAACTGTAAAAGCAATGAAATAGTGTTAAAGAGATGTAAGTCATCATACTCAGCAAAAAAATAATTATTAGCAGGACTGAATTATTATTTGTGCGAACCGTGTTTTATCGAGCAATTTGAAGATGAAGTTTACAAAGTGATACTTCACTGTAACTTGATTTCAACAGATGACATAGTTGCAATAGGAGTTTCCGGAGGAAAAGATTCATCTGCCTTGATTCACTGTTTGACAGAGATAAACAGACGCTATAACTGTGGATGGAAGTTTGTTTTAGTTGCTGTTGACGAAGGAATTTTAGGTTATCGAGATGAGTCTTTGAAATGTGTTGATCATATACAAAAAATGTACAATTTACCGTTAATTATAGAATCTTTTGCTGATCTTTATCATGGCTGGACAATGGATAAAATTGTTTCAGTGACAGGGAATAAAAATAGCTGCACTTATTGTGGTACTTTTCGTCGCAATGCGTTAGAAATAGGAGCAAGAAAACTCCATGCAACTAGTATTGCGACAGGCCATAATGCAGACGACAGTTTTGAGACAATGCTGATGAACGTTTTCCGAAACGATTATAAAAAACTTTCGACTCAAGGGCCATCAACCGCCTGTTCGTGCAAAAAAAAATTAAATTTACAAAAAACTGGTTTAACTCGGGTAAAACCATTTTATTACACAACACAAAAAGAAATCGTTCTTTATTGTCACTACAATAAACTGAAATATTTCAGTACTGAGTGTAGTTATTCTGGAGAAGCGTTCAGAGGAAAAGTTAGACATCTTGTAAAAAGAATTGAGGCTAACGAGCCGAGAATTGTTAGAACAATATTATTTAATAAGTTTACCGATGATGTTTGTATTTGTGATGATATAAATAGTAGTGATCTTAAGGACTGTATCAATTGTAGCTCACTGACGTACAATGAGGTTTGCAAAGCCTGTGAGCAAGTAAAAAAACTCAACGAAATGATGTACTGCTCATAATGAAACAGCAAATATAGTCAAAATGACGTACATTGTAGAAGCATCGTATCTAGCTGTTATGGTTGTATCGTTAGCCACGTCCCAGTAACACGTGGTATAAAAATGAAAACCATTATTTCTGCGTTCTAAAATTATGGAACCGATTACATACTTTGCATCTTCACTTATATCTTGTAAGTTTTTAATTACACCTATTAATTTAGTATTTATATTAAAACTTACGATGATTGATTTTCTCAACCCATTCCTGAACTTTAGTAGGATCGTAGGTATGATCGCCTATAACTTCATATATTACTTCTTCAGCCATTTTCTTGATTTTAGCACGGAATGGAACGAAGGACACTTCATATTCGTTGTTTTCCATTGTGAATCTATTTTATAAAATAAATAACCAATACAAATTAACACTGTATTAAAATTTGTTATTATTTTTATAATTTGACAATAGTCTCCATTTAATTAATTATTTATAATCAAAATTTTCGGCAAGCAAGATCAAAAAAGACGTATCTTTTTGTTATTAGCATCAGTATTCGCTTGTGGCACCGTAACACTCTGATAAACATCGTAAAATTTGAATTTACACGTTTTACAGATATATGTGGCAACTGATGAACTTATTTTTTTTTTTGGATAGTGTCGCTTCAGTTTTTCAAGTGTTTTTATATCTGTAGTATGAGTTTTATCGAAAGTCACATTAGGAACATACACAGTACCACACCTATTACAGAGCGATTTATTGGCAATTAACGTTTTAAAAATAAAATAGTTTGGTCTGACACGGACAATCTTATTTCCTATAACATGTGATAGTTTGTTATTTGTTATTATATTTGTTAACACTTCCTGTAAATAACTCGTTGTGGTTAATTGTATAGACATTAATGGTTTTTGGGAAATCGGCTATTTGGGTTTTTCTTAAAATAACTTTAAATTCTGTAAAATTAAAATCATGTGGCTAAAATCTGCTATATTATTAATTATAAATATTCGTGCTCATAATATATTGGACTATGAAAATCAAAAACTGTTGAATAGAATTTGGGCTGGATATTATCAGATCAACCAATACGTTTTGAGTGATTCTTCTGCGTTTAATGTTTTAGTTTCTAATCTTGGAAATTCAAATAATGAGTTTTTAAGCAATGTTTGCTTCAGCTTTAATACAAAAAATAAAAAAATGTGTAAAAATATGAGTTCAGATGGATTTTTAGCTCCAAACACCACTAACTATATCGATATATTGGCAGCTAATAAATTTTTTGACTCTATAATTAGAGATTCAACCAATGCAACTAGTGAAGAATATGATCTCATTAAGAAACTTTACTCAGGTCAGGAAGAAGAAATAAAACACGTGGATATCAGTAAAAATTGGTATTCCAGGTACAAAATTAATAAAGAAAAAATAATCAGTGTAGGAATATCTGATAATATTCAAAATCTCGACGAAGTTATGATCATAATTGATAATGCTGATGACGCACGAAAATTGTTTGAAAATATATCAGATAAGATTCGTTACGGCTCGTTAAAAGCAGAATATTTCAGAAAAAACAATGTTGGATTTAACGACACAGAAACACTTACATTTTTACACTCATCGTTGAAGTCAGTTGAAGAAGTTACGATGGCTTCAAAATTTATTTTTAACAGTTATTATAATTACTTTAGAAATTATCTTGACATCGACAAATCATTACTAACTAGAGATCCAGTGATTTTTTCGAAAAATACGGGTGAAGACTTGTTAACTGTATATTCACATTTTGGAACGTTACGATTGTCAAATGACAACGAAAAAAACTTATATTCACTCTATTCTCAAGTATTATTTCACGATAGTTTGATCAGCCACGTGATAAATGATACATTTAAATTACATGAAGAGTTAATTGAGCCGGTAAAAAGCGCATTAATCAGTCTTAATAATAAACCGGTTTTCACAAATCGAATGAATGATCTAAATAAACTAATCAGTACTTACTTTTCAAATTTTGACATTATAAATAACATTGAGCAGCCCCGACCGTTGGATTTAGAAACAATAATTAAGTACTCTGTCACTAAAAATAACAGGAAAAACGATGCGGATCCATCATTAAGTGATAGAATTGTAATGATGATAGAAATACATTCTAAACCTCAACTTACACTAGCAAAAGCTTTAATCGATTCTATCATTGAAAATGATTATAAAACTTTGAAATCAGTATTTTTAATTTTCTCAGATTATCATAATTTAGAAGTATATAAAACCGTCAATCAAACGTTGTTTGATTTTGAAAATAAACTTACATTTGAAAAATTAAGAGAGATATTAGAAAAATTGTTACGTGTTTTTGATACTTTAGATCACATTGATCATAAAAAAGACATCAACGTAATTGATATAGCTATTGCTAATGTTTTTACATCTGCAGACAATGAGGAATCAAGAACTATTGCCGAGATGCTTTATAAAACAGTTGTAACAAATATTGGCGTCAGATCAATATTCATGGTTAACGAAAATAATCTTATAGTAGACGATGATTTTATAATCGATGAGTTTAGAATCAACAAATTTTTAAATATTATTGAAAGTTTACTCAGACCTGGAAAATATGAAGATTCACAAAGTGGAAAGGCAACTAAAAAAGATTTCAAATACGGTTTGTACAATAACAACACACAATTTTTAAGTAATTCAGGCTTGAAAGATTGTATTAATAACACATGTGATTTCGCTGAACTACAACTTATTCAGAACGATCTTTTCCAAAAACAGGATCAATATTCAGAGATGGTTATGCCTATAATTTCCGGAAGGTTTCTTTCCGGTGTTAACCATATAGGTAACAGTAAGAATAAAGCTCTAGGTGTTGCCTCGGTGATTTATTGGTTACATTTATCGGAAGCACATATGAAGGTTTTCAGTAATTTATCATATAAAACGTCGCTCAAGGAAGTTTTACTTAAAATGCTTGACAAAGCCGGAATGAACGCACATCTCATTCTGTCAACTTCGTTGAGAGGACGGTTATGTTACTTTAGCCCAGACGATACTATAAGCGAAGCAAATCTCCGATGTGTTATGGATTTGCCTTACATATTATCTAATAGAAAACAATCGTTCCTAGCGCTTAATCATTTGATTAGCATACTAGATAATGGGTACTTGTTTCCAGAGACTATCTTTTCATACTTAAGAACGCAAATAATTAGGCTATCTCGAAAACAATCAAAATTCTTGATAGATAAAAAGTTTCCAAGATCGAATTTGTTGAGTTGCTTAGACAACATTTTAGATTCAAAGTTTCCTTTTGATTTGGAATTACCTATTAGTCATATTTGTTGGATGCTTTCGAATTATATCTATATCACGCGAAAGTATAACAATTATTCGAACTCAGTTATGAAAAAATTAAACAGCACTGAAAAAATGGCCTTGTATTTTGAAGTGAATGAAAATGAATTACTGAACCCAGTATTATTGCAGCTTCTAAGTTTTATCAGCACTAATACCTTTGATACATATCAAATAAGTTCGAATATGAAGAATCCGCAGATCGTGAAAACTGAGGAACTAGTTCCATCATACTTAGCGGATCTAGTTAAAAATTAAAAATTAGCAACAGATATTTGCAATCAGCTTTAAATATTATTTATAACTAATTTATGTGAATAGCTAATTAATATAAATACGCGGTAATTCAAATTTTCCATAAATGTTAAAAAAATCAGGTTGATTAGTGTAAAGTTAGTAATGAATGTTTAAAGAGGTAAATAATATTAAGTCTGTCTCTGAACTTTTAAAACTATTCGATGCTTCGTTCTTTGGAAAAAATACATATAATAAATGGACGAACGAGCTGCTGCCTTTGCGTGCTGAATTAATACTGTTAGACTCTTGTAACGATCGAGCTTTCATTTTGCATTCGTGGAAAAAGTGCATCGATAACTGGAATTCAGCTATTGACTGGAACGACTTCAAAACAAATCAGATAATAAGTAAGGATTATAGTCACAACAAGCTTATCACTTTATTCAACCAAGTTAGTTTAGACGTAAGACGACTAACGCATTATGGTAACTTACAATCAGCTGAATTAAAATGGCGACTCGATTATTTCATAAAAATCACAATGCGTACTTATTTAGATAATGAAGCTCCGCCTAAAAATTGTAAAGAATCTATAATAAAATATCAATACATTCAAGGAGGCCATGACATTTGTGCCGTATTCGCTCATTTAAATCTTAATAAAAAAAATGCAAAAAAAGTTTTACCAGATGAAGAGTTAGTTAAACTTTGTAGAAACTTCATTCAGCAACGACTGCTAATGTTTCACAGCGACGTCCCATTGAATCAGATAATGATGTTTTATTCCAAAGTAGTTACAAAGATTTTATTTAACAATTCGTATTTCATGCTGATACATAAGTTAGGAATTAAAATAAACTTTAAAAATGTAAAAGTACCCGATCTTAAACAAGCAACTACTGGAGTCAAAATAAAAAATTCTAATTTGAACATTAATAACTCCAGCAGTTTTAAAGTGTCAGGTACAGAATACCATTTTTGTATTCCGTGGTTCATTACTATGCTGAGCCACAGCACTAAAAATGTCGAAGAGACAATAAATTTATGGAACTGTTTAATTGCTATGCCGCCTCCATTTTTTTTTTATTATATTGCAGCATTGATTGCTAATTTATATGATAATATTTTGCTTGACAATAAAGACATACCAAATTTAGAGATTTTTCTGTGGAAAAATGATAAAGAACGGCTTAATTTTCAAATTTTTAAAAAAGCGTTGTTGATGTCATATAAACTTCTGTTGAATTTTCCTTATTATTATTTATTACGGTTTATCATTGAGGAAGTCACGGACAGATCAGAAGAACCTAAGTATTACGAATGCAAAAAGACGGATTACTGTTTGGTTTTTCAAACTACCATTGTCCCTATGTATTCTATTCCAACCGAATTATACACCCCCCTTTTACCCAATAAATTGAAAATCAAAAAAGAAAGTCAAAGCTTGTTTTCTTTTAATTATAATTTTTTCAATATAAAAAAATAGTTACTTGCTTGGTCGCAACGCTAACAAACTTAAAATTAACTCGTCAAACTCTTTTATTTCTTTTATGTCGTTGTTGAAATGGTAAACGGAAGACATCAGTTCATTAATTGTTTTGCTAGATAAAATTTCATCGTTTATCTTGAGAAGATAACGGTCCAGTTTGTCAAGAAATTCAATTTCTTCTTTTGTGAAATCAATATTATACTTTGTCTTCATGAAATCAACAAATGATGTCTTGGAATAAGATTCGGATTTTTTAATGCAGTATGTGGTAAAATCAACCAGCAAAGTTTCAGGTTTATTATTGTTCATATCATTAGAATTCATTATTTTTCTTAAAGCGTGAGCGTAATTCATCAATAAAGTAGTGTTTTTGTTCTCAATCTCTTGCCGTTGATTGTACCACAACAATAACATCTTGTGCTCAGCAGTATTGATTTTTTCTAGTATATCTTCTATCTTAGTATTTTCATCAGAAGTGTGTATAGCACTCGTTTCATTGTAAATTTTTAGAATCTGTGGCTTACGCGAATATACATCGATAATATCACTCAACCCATGAAGAGTTTTCAGTCTTTCCGATGGCGTAGAGTCCTGGGAAAAGAGCTCGGTTAATAATGGGTGTGAAGTTAAACTGTGATAATGATTTTCTAAAAACACTTGAAAATTAGAGTATTGAGATACGGCACTAACTAACGAGAAACATATATATTTTAAATTTGATACCATTTTTAGCCTGCCACTAATTTTGCAATATTATGCTTAATTATGATAAATTAAAAAAAAATCACATGTTTGCGGTAATATACATGTAAATAGAATTTTATTTTGATATTTTGAAAAAATATGTATCATACGAGATCTCTATTTTTTCAAACAAATTGTTTGCTGAGAAACTTTATCAACATTAGATGCGCTAAAGTTAATGTTTTTTGTGTGATTTTGAGGAGTGAGTAGAAGTTTTAGTTACTTTTATTTTTTTTTTTTCAGAAATTAACTTTGTCTTTTGATCGGATACTGGTATTTGAACTACTCTATCTCCCAACCAGCGCGAAACTCTTGTAGCAAATGTCAATACAAAAGTGGCTGTAATTAGTAATGTAGAGATAATTCCCAAAATGCTGTAAATAACGACAAACAAGTCATTTCTTGTTTCTGTTTTTTCTGTGATTGGAACTCCTCCAATACCCGCTGGAAGATGGCTCAGTTTGACCTTAGGCAGTTTGGCAGCGTGATATAATCGGTCTGCTTTCGCTAATTTTTTACCGTTGTGTTTTTTGTCGTAAGAGAAAAGTACTTTGTTGTTGGAATCAAGGAATTCTGTAGTAAACTTTTCTTTTGTGATGGTATGTCTGCAAAAACCAGGGGTGGTTGAGTAAAATTTCGAGTAACGTTCTCGTTTGCTTCCAGTTCCTTTAAATGCTCCAGTGCCACAGTTGATGTGGGCTATGTTAGACTCATCAATCAGCTCCATATTGTGATCGGCACCACTGATGTAAGCATCTATGGAATATTTTTTCAAAAGAGGTTCAATATGGTTAAATAAGTACTTGTCACCGCCAGAACTTCCGCTACTAATGATTGGCTTGTCCGCTACAATGAATACCCAGTCGTGAGCTTTGGAAGCGTGCTCTAAACTATTTTCTAAAAATTTCCAATGTTCATTGGTTAGAGATATATCAGCAAAGCCAGGAGATAAGATAGTCGTATCAATAAATAAAAAAAACGCAGTCACTTGGTCTCCTGACTTGTAAACATTCGAAGAAGTTGAGTCAGTAAATGTTTTTGTGTAGTGATAAAAATAATTTGGATAAGTCCATTTAGCTCCTTTGCGGTCCAGGTTTAGAATTATTGATTCTTCTAAGTTCTTTCGACCATTTGAATAAACTAGTTTGGTCATAGTTGTAAATGATGAAACGTTTCCTTGCCAATCGCCTGTACCCGCGACGGGGAAAAATTGCATGTTCAGCTCTGGTTTAGCGTACTGATTTTCAAACTCTTCAATCCACTTTTCATCGTCAAGCCCTATTATAGGCTGGCTGAAACACGAACCAGGCGAAACGATCATTGAAATTGGCAAAGTTTTTGCTTGTGTTTGTAAAGCTTTGCTAACGTTGGACTGCTCTGGTCCGCCAAAGTTTCCTAAAGAAACAAAATGCAACTGAGCATTTACTATAGAAACTAACAATACCTGTGCATAAGTAGATAATCGTCTCATTGCTTAGAATGATTATTGCACCTTGATTCGAAAGAACAAAATGCACCACGACGGACTAAATACAGTAATAATTAATTATTCGGGTTCTTTTTTGTAATCTAATGCAATAATCATTTTGCAAACTATTTTTAGTACTTGTATGCTCTGTTGCTTTTGTTTATTTAACTCATAAGCATTTTTATTTTTAGTATACTCGTGTGTGGCGTTACAAAAGTCGTCTAAAAAATCGCAATTGATAATTACACCATCTATTTTCGGCTTTAACTTTCCGGACTCGTATATGTATCCTATAATAGAAATAAGATGTTTTATATTGTGCTTAGCACAAACTTTTAATGCACTCGGATATTTCTCTAATGACAAAAATACATGACTGTTGGGAATAGTAATGTAGCGCCTATCTAAAAATTTTACGTACGAATTGATTAAAAACTTGTCATCAAAAATATTGATTGGTTCAGTGTTATAGTATGAATATAAATATTCATCAATTTCTGTATTCGACCGAGGTATTTTTTTTTTGTGTACTTTTGTGTGCTGACCTATTTTAACAGTTCTACCTCTTTTAAGCCATTGATCTTCATTAAGTAACACGATCACATCGGATTTTAAAAATATCTTCATACCTTTAAACACCCCACAAGGTTTTGCTTTCGAGTAGTCAATTACTTCATTATCTTTAAGTAACGAAGCAAGAACGTAAGCATTAGATTTTTTGAATCCTTCTTTTGATGTTGGAATTGCCTGACTGTTCAGTTCTCTCAAATGTAATAGATCCATATCGATTTTAGATAAAAAACTATGTAAAAGAGTAGACTTACAACAAGTTGATAAATCTGTTGTATGATATTTTTTCTTTGCAAATTCAGTCAAGATTTTGCATATAGGTTCTAGAAGTGTAAAATTATTTTTTTGAGCTTGTGAAATTTTTACGAAATATCTCATCGAAGTGTTCAAAAATTCGTAATTAAATTGATAAGCTAATACGTACAAACAATAAGTATTAAAAATATTTTTTCCATCTATCACTATGAACGGATGTTGCCGTAATTTAAGAAAAAAATTGTCGTAGTTTCGCAAAAAAAATCTATGTTCTGCTTTATGAAAATCATATATATAACGTCGTGAAAAGTTGTTTAAATTCGAGTTTTCCATTTTGTGCGTATATGTATAATTTTTGACTAAGTCAGTTTTTTCTGGAAGTGTTTCGTCAATGTCAGAATCATCGAAATCATATAGTAGTTTATTGCTGTCTTTATTTAAACTTGACCCAATATTATCATCAGTTTCTATACATTTAATGTGTTTAAATTTATTAACAATAGTTGTTTGGTTTGATTTCAAATACGTGGAAGACAACATCGTAGCTGTAAAATTGGGAGGTAATTGTTTTGGAATTATAATACCAACATTAAAATTGCCATCATAAAATTCAATAGCCACCCAGCTATTTGTTTCAGTGAAATAAGCTTCAATCCAAATGATGGTCCTAACGGTTTCATAATTAATCTCTAATAATGTTTCCTTTGTTATCGCACTAGCAACTGTTTCTTTAAATTTTTTATTATAGTTTGATCTATATATAGCATTGGAAAAAGGCTTGTTGACTGAAGTTGAAAGCCGAAATGGAATATTAAAAACATTAAGTAAAATAGCAAAAATTATGGTAGCTGTAGTCGGCAAAATTTGAGAAGAAGTGGTGGCTGCTAAAACACCTCTAACTAAATCGTTTGTTACACGTGATTTTTTAGTTACCTTTGATAAAAGACTGTTTAAAGGAGTAATGGTTAAATCAATATGAAAAATAGTATAAGTATTGATTAACCAATAAAACAAATGAAATAAGTTTTTAGAGGGTGTACAAATATTATGGTGTGTAGCATAATATTTCGACAAAATTAAGTGTTGAATGAATTGATTATTAATGATTTTATAAATTCTTAACAAATAAAGTCCGTGAGAGATAAATAATAGTTCCAAAATTTCTTCATTATCGGTCATTCTAAGAAGAAAAGAATTTATCTTATGGAAGCATAAAATAACATATTAAAAATTCACAAATTATAATTTTTGTCGGCCTATAATTTTAACTCGATTATCAGTTAACCGTGTGGTAGCTTTCATGGATTCTTGGCATTCAATACTTAATAAATTTAATGAAAATGCATTTAATTATGACAGTATAGCTACAGAACTTGATATTCAAGATAATGTAGACGAAAATGCTATCAGTTCAGAAGAAGACAATAATGACGATTTTAAAGATAGTTTGTCTGTCAATGCCTTAGCAAATAAGAAAATTCAGGAAATTGATTTTGTACATGTTAAAGCTAGTGAAGCCAGTTGGCTGTCTCGGTTGAAAACATTATACGATAAAAAAAATATTAGTTTATCTCAACAACGAAAATCTCAAAAAGAAAGAAAGAAAAGAATTCTTTATGTTAAGACCAATATGCACGAAGAAAGTCCTTTAGTAAACCAAACGGAAATGAAATTTCAATTAGTTGCTGAAAAAGGATATTTAAACTTATTGTTTCACTATATTGAAGCAAAAGTAAATGTGTGATAAACAATTTAAATTTTAGATCAGCACAACTTTTAGATTTTCAATAAAAATTTATACTACTTTCTGACTAAAATTACATGTACATGTGTCTTTTTTTTGAAGTTTATACAAAAATAGGTAACAAGCAAATATGCCGAACAAAGTGTAAGTTACAGAAACTTAGAATTTTCAGAGAATGTAAAAATCCTAAAGTAAAAAATCACACGTTAGCGTAAGTGACGACCGATCTCACTAATTTACAGAGCTAAGCCGGCAATTAACATGAAGATACACGAAGCAATGAAAAATAAACTTCTGCAAAAACAAAAAGAAGACGATAAAAATGGAATTTCTAAATTCGAAGACTAGATCTGTAGTGTAATTATATAATATATAATATTGGTTGATTTTTAAACAATGTATTGTCGATTACACACACAGCACACTCAAAAACCACAAGTTTTTATACATAACTTTATTACTATGTTTACATTTGAAATTGATAGTAAATTTTGACCGTTTAATGAATGATTGTAAAAAGTTACGAAGGCGAGACTTAGCTGGTTGGAGGACAAAAAATATATATTCCACAAATAAAAACATTTCGAAATTTTTAAACATTCTGAAATTGAGAGGGTTACCATACGACTGTAGCGCAGATAAAATATTAGAGTGGCTGCAAAAATACTCTGGAAATATAACTAAAATTATAATAATAAAAAAATATAACAATGTTAACTCAGGGTTTGCATTAATTATTACAAATAAAGAGAGTACCACTAAAGAGATTTGGTTAAAGCTGCACAAAACAAAAATCACAACTGATAGATTCGTTGAAATATTTAGCTTAGTGCCTGCAAAATGTCCTTTAATTAACCAAACAAACATAAAATCAAATATTTGTGACTACTGTGGAAATGCATATAGTTTTCATTCTGATAAAGGTTTAAGCAGTTTAGCGGCAAGTTATTCTTCCCAGTACGGTAATTCTCTTATGAGTTATGACTATCTGGAAATTCCAGCTCTGATCTACTTAGATTCTATTTATATAAATGACGTAATTAATTATCATCCGAAAAAATACCAAAAATCAAAACAATTCTCTTTATTGTACCCTAAAAGAGTAAATCAGCTGACCAAAATCAACAAAGTTTTGTTCTATGATTTAGTGAGACTTACTGATTACAGCGCATCAGATGTAGAAATTGAAATATTAGAATCACTTTTGATTGAAGGACCCTTGTCTTTGAGCGAGTTAGGCAATCGGTTAAGTGCTGATGCTAGAGCATATCTTTTTATAAGCGAGTTAAAATTACAAATTTTTTGCAGTCGGATCGATGAGATAAAAACTATAAAAAAAACAAACAACTGTATTATGACATACTTTGAAAACTCAGAGTTGCAAAATTTATGTGGTGATTGTAGCAGTACAGAACTCATCAAAATGAACCAAACCACAAATGTCTATAAAAATAAAAATTTTTTAACTTAAAAATTATCGCAGTGGATTCAAAATCTATTAACAAAGTTTAATAAACAAGTATGAAGCTACGCAGCGTTCAATGAGCTTAGGAAGCTCGCACAATGTTCATTGTTATATTAGTAAAACTGTTTGCAACGTGACTTGTTGTTTTGAAAAAATTTTTGTGAAATCGCGGTATCGCACTATATAGGTTTAATTACATGAGCGTATATCTGTTTAATTTAGTCAGGCAAACAAAAAATTGATATTCGATTTAATATATTATATGAAATAGTGTTAAATTCAAAGCAGAAGAATATTTTTGCTTAGAATTTCTAATAGAATTTTTTTTAAAAAACATTATCAGTCTAGGAGTTATAACTGTTCAATTTTCTGCAAGTCGGTAAAGAGTTAATAAGTTATTGAGTCGATTTACTAGTTTAATAATATTTGGAAATAAATAAGCATTATCTATGACGGTTACTAACGAAAATAATGAAATTAAAGAGTGGATTTTAGATGTAAACTATAAAAATAATCCTAGATATGACAGTTCGATTCATCAAGTAAGTTTCGACACAAGTTGTTTTGAAATTTTTTTTAGCGAATAAGACAGATGTGTGAGAAACAAGAAGCTTGTTTTTGGACGGCTGAAGAAATAGATTTGTATGGAGACCTGCGTGATTGGAATAATTTGAATGAGAACGAAAAAAGTTTCATTAAATATGTGCTGGCGTTTTTTGCAGCAAGTGACGGAATCGTTTTAGAAAACATTGGACGTCGTTTTTTCCTCGAGTTTCAAGTCCCTGAAATTAGAGATTTCTACGCATTTCAGTTGGCGATGGAAAATATCCACTCTGAAACGTATAGTTTGCTGATTGATTGTTATTTGCAATCCAATCTGCAAGAACAAATAAAAATTTTTCGAGCTATAAACCATATTAAAGCCGTTGAATCAAAAGCGCTTTGGGCTTTAAAGTGGATTAATAATGAGAACTCAATCGCTGAACGCTTGCTAGCGTTCTGTGCAGTCGAGGGAATTTTGTTTAGCGGTTCTTTTTGCGCCATTTTCTGGATGAAAAAACGCGGTCTGCTTCCTGGTTTGACGTTTAGTAACGAACTGATTTCGAGAGACGAAGGCATGCACACAGAGTTTGGCGCGCTTCTTTACAGTTCGTTGGAAAATCGATTACCAGAGAATGAAGCTCACCAGATCATTTTAGAAGCTTTAGATGTCGAACGTAAATTCATTTTAGAAGCATTGACTATCGATTTAATTGGAATGAATTCAAAACTAATGATTCAATATCTCGAATATGTCAGCGATAGACTTTTAAAAGATCTGGGATATAACTCAATTTTCAACTCTGAAAATCCGTTCTCCTGGATGGAGTTGATTTCAATCCAAGGAAAAACAAACTTTTTTGAAAAAAGAGTCAGTGACTACCAGTTGGCAGGTGCTACGTCTATAGATTTAGACAACAAATTTGATCAAAATGCTGAATTCTAAGTGTAATTCTGCGCCAATTTGTTAATGTTGTTTTTACAAGAGATATAATTCATAATTAATGTTTATAAACTTTATGGATCAATATATTTTTGTGGCTTTCCAAATGCGAAGCTATTGAGTAAAGTTAATTCTAATTTTTCATTTTTGACCAAGTTCGAGCCTTTTGGAAGCAATACATCCTGTTGGTACAAAGGACCATATTTGAAAATTTTGGAATTAGCGTAAATAAAAATTTGGTTTGTAAACGGCGCAAATAGTAAGGCAGTAGATCCTAAACAGTTGATTGAATGCATTGTGATACACGTAGAACAACAGTATGAATGACAAACGAAACAAATAAAACTAAATGATATGATGCTACAACAAATATTGCAGCGTTTGTTATATACATTTCGAATTATATCAAAGTAATATTTTGGAAACAGATTTGTATATCTGTAAGTGCGTAAAATCTTGCTTTCCGGTACATATGGCGTGATGTTGTTGTGAAAACTTTTATTGGAGTCAGTAATACTCATTATCTTATTTTGTTGAACATTTTGTGATGAAAAGTCAAAGCATTCGGACGATAAAAACAACAAATTTAATTTCCAGGTCAAGCTTTCAACGTCTTGGTAGTATTTGTGAATCTGTAAACCTCTTTTTTTAAAGTGCTCTAAAAAAGTCTTGTGAGAAAACAGCAAGTCGAAAGTATTGTCAACGCAGTCAATATTCAAATCTAAATAAAAATGCAAAATATAACGCAAATCGTTCGTACCCGAGTTAGAAAACAGATCAACAAGTAAATTCGCAGGCAAAAAGTTCTTCCAAATCGTGGTTATACAAAAACTTGAAAATTTCAGAAAATTAGAAAGTAGCTCCATGAACGCGGTTTTGACACAGTCGTTCATGAACAAGTAAGGAGAGTTTAGATAGTTTATTGTTTCTTTGCGTTTGATATGTTGAGCTTGAATATTAGTACTAGAACTGTTGACTAGTATGTACCTAAGCAGAAACACAACGAACTCGTAAGCAGTGTTAGTATTGTACAAAAAATAAGAATGAATCGTAGAAAAATCGATCAGTTCTTCGATTTTCGGAAACAAATCAAAAATAAAACTGTACTTTCGAGATTCGTTTTCGTTTATTAAGTCAATGATAAAGTTATTATAAGCGCTTAAAAGCATGTTAGCGTGATCAAACGTAGCCTGTCTTTCATGTGGCGAGGTCTTAAATAAATTCATTTCTTTTTTATTAAGTTTGCGTAGGTCAGATTCATCTAATTGCCATTTGATATTATTCGTAAAAACGTTACTTCTGTATCTGTCAACTATTTCAGCTACTGTCGAAAAGAAATTACTGAAAACATCGTTTTCATGAATTGAAACAATAGGTTCGTCCGGAATTTTGACATGAACATTTGACATATCATCACAAGAACTGTTAGTAGAACTTACAGGGTACGTGATAAACGAATCAGATAGACTGTTATGGTATTTGTCGATCGAAGACATCTTGATAGAATTTCTTATCTTACGGAACACATTCTGAGCCTTTCTAATGACAGGCGAGAACACGCTGTCCGCAAACCGTTTTTGATTTGATTTTTTTGACGGCAACATTTCGCCTAAACAAGTATCTTCCCGTGATTTAATAAGCCAAGCTAAAATATTATGCATCGCTTGGACTGCATAAGTTTGTTCAATTCCAATGACGGGTTTTTCATATTTGATCAATTGAAGTGAGTCAAACAAAAGTTTTTCGTATAGCGATGCTGGCGTTCTTGTAGAATCATACTGGATAAGCTGGAACAGCGAATGATATACAACATTAAAAAATATCTGCGAAATACACGACAATACTAGTTTTTTTACTTGAGCGAAACTTCCCTTTGAAGCGACTAAACGTGAAAATCTTGATAAAAACAGCAAATTAATGTCGCTGTCAAAAAAGTTCTTGCTATCTTTATCCAGCAAAATCGAATCGAAGTCGTAGTCGAAGTCTAAAGAATAAGGTTTAGAAATAAGAATTAAAGACCTGACTAAAGTTACACACAGTGGGATTTTAGATTGAGAGAGTATGAAATTTGTCGCCTCATGGGAATCGAATCTTAAAACATCAATGAGTTCGGAATAAGCCGCATATAGCAACGGTGATATAGAAACTTTGAATTCAATACTACTATCAATTCTTTTCAAAAACTGCTTTTTAATATAACTGTAATAAGTAATAGGAGAGTTGACATTATAATAATATATTCCGGCGTGCGATAAATCTTTTGAGAAAGCTTTCATAAAAATTGTTTTAGGTAGTTGAAGTAATTGCGATAAATTTGAAAATAACTGTCTTACAATGTTTTCTAATTGATTAGCAGGCTCTGCAGTGTCCTGATTTTCAATTTGGTTGCGATTACTAAGGTCAAGGTTTAAATTAAAACTTGCAAAGTTGTTAGTTTCTACGTTGAGCTGGCGATTAAAATTACTAAGTAGCATCGATAACAATTCAGAAAAAGTATTGGTTTGATTTTCAGTTGCAACGCCTGCTTCTGTTTCGTTAGAACTAGAAGTTTCTTCGGGCCTACTAACCATAACCTCAGTTTCTTGACGATTAGTTACGTTTGTGTTGTTGGTATATGCTTGTGAGAACATGCTATTAAACATATTTGTAAGCATATCTCCGGCGTTTTCACGAGTGTTTCTTGGATTCATATGTACTTCTACATTTGGTGCGGTAGTTTCGTTTTGAGCGTTTTCCAAAGCGTTTATCGAAAAGATCAAGTGATTTGTACTTTCATTTTCTGCGCTTTCGGTCCCAAATTGGTCAGTAGTATTGTTGCTCTGGTTCAAGAAAAAGTTTCTTGAATCCGAAACAAAATTACTCGAAATTTCCGAAACTTGATTCTGTATGTTGCTCAAGTCTTGCGAAAGCACAGAAAAATTCGAATCTACCGAGCCAAAGTTAAAGTTGCCAATTTGAGGCGTAATAGTAACTATAGGAATTATAGTTACATAATGTTGCAGGTTTGGCTGGTTAGTTGCAGTTGTATTCAGAGTAGAAACTGAGGTAGGTTGTATTTCTTGCGCTGGAACTATGGGTTGTTCTAAACTAGTATTATTACCTTGCGTTTGACCAGAAACTTCAGTCTCCTTCATTTCGTTGTCTTTGTCATATTTCCAAGCATATAGAGTCTTCTTTCCTTTTGCTGTTTCTTCTAAATTGTATGCCAATTTACACATATTCAAATTACGTTTGATGCGCTCATTGTATAATTCATGCAAGAAAGTATTCGAGTCGACGTTTCCATTACCTCCATCAGCAAACAATGTCCAAAATGGAATGATAGGAAAAATTAAATCTGCAGATGATCTACACATTGGACATTTAATGTTATCGCTTTCAAAAAGAGAAGTAAATGAATTTTGATTTGTAGAACTCGGGTCGAAACATTTATAATGAACTGCGTGTTTACAGGTTTTAACTTTGTAAAATAGATTTGGAATTATGAACGGATAAGAATATCCACCAGTGAGCCTGTACTTAAGCGTAAATTTAGCAGTACGAACATCTAATAAATCGCAAATCGTTATTCTCTGTAAAGAATTTGACTCTGTGATCTGACAAATATAGTGCAAAGGTTCTTTTAAAGTGCCTTTTTCTCGACATATGTCGCAAGTAAACTGAGAACTAAGTATCAATTCAAGTTGATCTCTGTGATTTTGAGTTTGAATAAAAATTGACTCGTTTTCGTAAGAATCGCTATCTTCTAAGTTGACAAGTTTCGTTGATTCGTCTTTAATTAAAGAATCAAATGCCTCTAGCTGTAAAGATTTAATTTTTTCCAGTAATTTGGAACTTTTTTGTTTCGCAGCATTTATGAAATAAGATGATCGATTGTCTTTGGCGACAGTGACATTTAGGCTATTAGTAATCAGTATATCGCTAGAACTTTTGCCATTAACGTTAACTAATGAGGTAAATAAACACGATAACTCGTTTAGAATGATTTTTTGATATTTTAACAATACTTTGTCAGTAATAATTTTTGTAGCTTGATTTAAACCTTGTATAAGTCTATTTAATTTTTGTTCTAAAAGTTTTTTATCAAAGTTATTGTGCATTGAAAATCTACACCAAGGAATAAAAGTCGAGTCAATAATCTTAATAATAGAAGAATAGATTGAATTACTACTTTGTCTTACAAACAACATGATATCTTCATATGATTCAATACAAGTTATTTTTGAATCAGGTACAAATGAAGCTTCTGCTAAGCAAGATAGCGCTTCTATAGTTCTAATAATTAAAGTTTCAAAATTTTCTGAATCCCAGAATAACTTAGAAATGGCGTTAACTTTAAAATTTATAGAAGTAGCATTGTCATTGGATATGTTTAATAAAGACGAAAAATTTTTAGTCTTGAAATTAATGTTAGATAAAACAAATGAGTCAATCTGGGAGTTAGAATTGAAAACAGGCGACCCGTAAAGCAAGTAGTCTGTGAGATTCTCGTTTAAAGTAAAATCCTTTGATCTTTGATTGCAGTAAGTTTTGAGTTTGTCAATAATAAGTTTTTCTAAAGGGTTCCAAGAAAGAACATCGTTTAAGTTTTTAGTAAGTACAATTGCTAGAGGAATTGAAAATTTATTTATAACTGAAATTCTTTCAGCGAATTCTTCATTTTCTTTTTGCTGATGCGCAGCGTAATATTCGAATTCCAATAATCCATACGTTACAATAATTTCGATTAAGTTAAAGAATATTTGAAGCCAAATCAAGTTACTATTTATACCTTCATGAAGTGCCAAAGAAAGTAGTTTTCGAAGTCCTGCTTCAGAGTAGAAATTTTCAGGTTTTAATTCAGTGAAAATATCATCCAATATATTAACAAAAGAAGTGGATGATGAAACAGAAAAATTTTCAAGTTCGGCAAGTAATGTTATTTCTTTTTGATCTGAAAACTTTTCTAGCATATATCGTTTGCAGAACTCGAGTAGGATCGTCAAAGTATTTTCGTTGTTAAAATGATGCATCATGATAAATAATACAAAGATGGAGGCTATATTAGCTCTGGAACCAGTTTTTGCGATCGAATATTCACATATTAGCTTATCAAAATTTGTTCCATTTCTTTTCCAAAAATTCAATGAGTGTGAAATAACTGCTACAAAGTTTCTTAAACAATATTCAAACAAGAGACAGTAGAAATTGTTCTCATGGAACAACTTTAAATAGTTTTTGACAATTGTAACATTTTGAGACTCTAATCCCGATTCATTCTTTAATAAGATATAGTTAAACAAATTATCCAAAGGTAGTGCTAATGTCATAAACATTATTGCGATGCTATCAGAACAAAACACGTATTTCAAAAACTGTCTCTGTGTTAGTTTAGTCTCTATAGAAGATTTCAAATTTTGCAAAAAAACTATGTTGTTTAGTTGCTTTTTATGGTCGTTTGACTGAGCATCAAATAAATAACTACCAAAAACAGAGTAGATCAAGTGATTTTGTATCAAAGGCAGGCATAGTATATCTGATTCAAATTCAACTATTTCATTTAATCTTGAATTTATGCCATTAAACGAATGAAAAGTTAAAAATTTTACTACGCTGCTGCATTTTGTAACAAAGTTAGAACAGAACTTAGAACTTGCGGTAACAAAAATATAGTGAAGCAGCTCTACATGGCGATACTGGAACCAGAAATTTTTCTTCAAGGTTTCCGAATTGATTAAACCAGAAATGTCTGCGTAACACTCTTCGAAAAACTCAGACAACAAGTTATCGGAATCCAAAGAATAAGTAACTATTGGATCGATAAAAAAATCCGGAACTAACGATAACAAAGTTTTATTTAGCACAAACAATTGGGATTTTTGTGTTGGGTTTAGTTTAATTTTCTGAACGTAAGCTTCAAGTAAAAATTTTGCATATCGAAACTTGACCCCTGGGTAGGGGAATAAAAGCGATAAAAAATTATTATAGTGCTTGGATGAAAGATTTTTTGGTTGAAAAATCATACACAATAGCTCATCAGTCAGTAATTTGTGAATAATTATGTTTATAGCGAAATAACAATTTTTAGCAAAGAGAGTGATCTCTGAAATGAAATCCTGTAAAGTTTGAGTGTTATTGATATTACTAAAATTCAAAACATACGAATCAAACTTGGTAACAATGTCAGATAAACCCGACTCCGCTGAAAGCGCTCGAATTTCGTTATCAACTAATAATTCGAATTTATTAGCTGTATATCCTGTGTGATGCTGGCAAGTCAGAGACGGAAGATTAGAAAATTTACAACCGCAGTGGCAATAGCCTTCTTCATTCAAGCACTGAACTGCACGATGGTGTTGATGTTCACTTTGAAAAAAACATTCTGCACAAACTAAATAATTTTTATTAAATCCACATTCTTCACCTAAAAATCATTTTTTGCTAAAACTTACAGTAAAATGAATAATCTTCACGACTGCAGAAAGTACTGCAGTTAATTTCAGTTAATTCACGATGTACTTTTTTACATATGTTAAAGACGTGTTCTATTTTATTTTTACTTATATTAAGAGCAGAACTCAATTTCATTGTTATATATTTTCATTATAGAAATGATTCTTAAATCAATTTTTATTATTTTTTCGCTGACGAAGAAAACAAACTTTGCTATTAATAAATAAATGTTACTGAAATACAAATATAAAAAAAAATTTTTAAAAAAAAACGACAACTGCTGGATTTGAACCAACGCGGGCATAGCCCATTAGATTTCAAGTCTAACCCCTTAGCCACTCGGGCAAGTTGCCAATCACAAAGTTGAATCATTTCTCATAATAGTTACGTTGCAGCTATGATGCGGTCTGTCTATCTTAAGATATTTAAAATAATAAATTATCAATTTTAGTAATTCCTATGTGATGAGACCGTATCCAAAAGTGGTTCTTTGGCTAATTACAAGTAAAACCAAAAACTATTAGTTTCAATCCAACATAAACCGACAACTGCTGGATTTGAACCAGCGCGGGCATAGCCCATTAGATTTCGAGTCTAACCCCTTAGCCACTCGGGCAAGTTGCCAATTAATTCGGCTAAATTTTATTTCCATTTCGGTTCACAGTTTTTAACTATACTTTTTTATAATTCGATGTTGTATTTTTCATGTTATCAATTTTTATTTTAAAAGTAGTTTGTATGAATAAAAAGTTGAATTTATGTTTTATTAAAAAGAACAAACGCACGAGCAATGATAGGTTAAAATACATTAAAAGAACTGTTGATATTGTAAATAACAGCGAATTAACTAATAATACAGAACAGAATAGAAGCATTGAACAATTCGACTCTAGTTTGTATCAATTGGAACAAATTTCAAACGATGACCAAGATGCAACAGGTCAACCTGACCCAACAGTTAAAAATATAGTTTCTGAATATTTTATGAATAATTTAGAAGACCAACATCAATCTCAGTTTGAATTATTCACAACAGATTCGCATTTTCAAGCTAGCTACTGGGACTTTTTGGTTTTATCTGCCACTGGATTGTCGAAAAAAAAAAATTATCAAAAGAAAGCTATTATAACCACGACATATCTAATTACTTTTACGAAATTCATTCCTGATTTCTTACTATCAAAAAAACATATGATATTTAATAATTCAAATTCTACAGAGTTTGCAACTACCGAGAGAACTCAAATGGAAACTATCGCTTCGAAAGGTCCTAGTTCAATCAATCAAGTACGAGCAGAAATAGAAACTTTGGCAAATGCTTCTGTCTTTTATTCTGGATTTTTTATACAACTCACTAACAGAAGTACACATAAAAAAGTAGAGACCATATCTATTAAAGAGATTGTAAAAGACTCGTCAAATTTATATTGCCCGGCAAAAAAAGAAAATAGAGAAAACTCAACCCAAAAGAATATTGCTAAGTTACCAATTTTATCTCACGAGAAACAAATTCTGGAGGCTATTACACAAAATTCAGTCACAATTATTGTTGCTGAAACGGGCAGTGGTAAAACCACACAACTACCACAAATAATATACAAACATCTGCTTTCAAATCGTAATTTAAGTAATTCGAGGTACAACAAACCGTTAATTGTGTGTACTCAACCAAGAAGAATAGCTGCTATAAATGTAGCTACCACAGTTTCTAACAACTTAGGTTTCGAGTTAGGTCGAGAAGTCGGTTATTCAGTAAGATTCGACGATAAAACTTCATGGCCGACTCGAATAAAATTTGCAACTGACGCATACTTAGTTAGAGAAGCTATGACAGACCCTTATTTTTCTGTTTACGACTATATCATTATCGATGAAGCGCATGAACGCTCTGTTTCAAGCGATCTTCTATTATCGCTGTTGAAAATAACAATGGTAAAGAAACCCACATTAAAAATTATTATAACAAGTGCAACATTAGATATCAAAGCTTTTATAGATTTTTTTCCTAAAGCTAATATTTTAAACATTCCAGGACGAACATTTCCTGTTGATGTTACTCATTATCCATTCACTCCTAAGGATTTCATTGCAGCAGCCGTACAAGAATTATTTAATATTCATTTAAATCAGACGTATAACGTAGATCAACCTTCTGACATATTAGTGTTTTTAACCGGTATAGATGACATATTTACGTTCAACTATCTAGTATACCAAAACTTTCGATCGTTCGAAAACAGTTCAACAAAGATTTCTCCTTTAATATTGGTGCCAGTGATTAGTTTTCTTTCGAAGGAAGATCAATCACACATTTTCAAACAATTCAAGTTTCGCAAATGCGTTGTTGCAACAAACATTGCCGAAACTTCTATTACAGTTGTCGGAATCAAATATGTAGTCGACTGTGGATATGTTAAAACAATGAAATATAATTCTAAGTTAAGAGTTAATTCCCTATGTCTTGAACCGAGCGCAAAAAGTACCTCTAAACAACGAGCGGGCAGAGCTGGACGTATGGGCCACGGATATTGTCAACGATTATTTACTCAAGAAGATTTCCTACTTATGCAAGACGCAGCGAAACCAAAAATTTTATGTACTAATATTGAATCTATCATATTGATATTGCTCAATTTGAATATTAAAAATATTTTCGAACATGCAATGATCAACCGACCTGACGATGATAATTTGGCTCGTGCTTTGTACAATCTTTATTTTATCGGTCTTTTGAGCTCCAAAGGAGAATTAACTATGTGTGGTCGATTTGCGTCAAAGTTTCCAGTTTTACCAGAGCATGCTCGGTTTATTTTAGAAGGTGTTAAATTAGGAGTCGCAGAGGATGTCATTGTGATCGTTTCTACTTTGCAAGTAGGAGATTTATTTCACACTTATAATATTGAAAAAGAAGTTCTTGCAGACATTAGATTAAAGTTTTCAGTTGACTCAAACGATTTGTTGACGTTATTAAATATATACAACCAATGGAAACGCGCTAATTATTCAAAAGCATTTGCTGAAAAATCTTGTCTAAACCACAAATTACTTGTTCAAATTCGACATATCAATGAACAACTAACTAAAATTTGCAATAAATTAAAGCTAGATCTGAATTTGAGCGATCAACTAGCAAACGACACAGTAAAAAAACATAACTTGATCAAAAAAGCAGCTTGTTGCGCATTTTTAAATAATGTGTCAAAGTCAATCGGTATTAACAAATATTGTATTTTATCAACATCTATAAATGCATGTATAAATCCAAACTCAGTTATGCATTTGTCTCAGTACAATCCAGAGTATTTAATATTTGTAAATATTATTGTAACGCACAACGAATACATAAATAACGTCAGCGAAATAGATCCATCGTGGGTAAAAGAATATGATCCGGTTTTATATAACGTTTCTGTGCTGTAAAAAGATTATTCGAAGTGTAAAGTACTATTTTCTTATTTAGCCTGCTATTTATTTAATTTAATCGTAAATTATAAAAGTCACAATTCGTGCCAGATAAATACGACTATTTAGTCCAATTTCATATATTATCAGAATGAATTACAATGATGGTGGAAAACTTTTGCATAACATGATAAAAACAAACTTGGAAGCTCCTGACTTGTATTTTCAAACGGATCTGATTTACGTATCTGCCTATATAAATGCAAAACCAGTTGTTGCTTTAATAGACACTGGCGCTCAGTCTTCTATTCTAACTCAAGAGCTGCTGAAATATCTTGAGTTAAACGAGCTTTTAGATCAAAATTGGTTGGGTAGTGTTTCTGGAGTTGGAACATCGCATATCATAGGAAAAGTTCATTGTTTAGACATTATTATTGAAAACATCGAAATAATATCTACTTTTTTAGTTATTAAAGACTTGAAATACCCTATTATCTTTGGTTTAGATATATTACAAAGATATCTTTGTATTATCTGCCTTAAATCTAAATACGTCAGATTTGCAGACATGATCAATGTCAACTTCAGTTCTGATAAGGACAGAGTTAGTTTTATAGAAGCTTTTGAGAGTTATTTAAAAGAAAAAAATTCTAAAATTACTCAATAAAGTATTTGCCTATTGAACAAAACTTCGATCGAACCAACATTTTCGTTTATCGAAGAAAACTCCATTTTAAAATTACTAGGAAAACTAAAATCAGCCATGTTTATTTTACTAACTACAAAATAAATAGTAAGATAGTTAAATTCATTAGTGGCACTTTTATATTCAATCAAACGCTTGATCATTTTCGCAAACGTTTCGTGATATGACAAAGAAAAATTTTTTAATTTAAGACTTAAATACATTTCGCTTAAAGTTTCTGGTACTGCATTCAAATAAATAATATCAAGATTAAAATTTTCTTTTTTGCAGAGATATATTAGTGAATCTATGTCGATTATTGTGGTATTAATTAAATTTTCGAGCTCATCATTATTTCGCCTGCCAACAAGAACTACTTTACGATTTGGGCAAAAATCAACAATGTTGTTTCGAGATTCTAAACCATAAACATCTTTTAAAATAATCATATTAAATTAACTACTAGAAAATTTTAAACACGGTACACACTTCTAATTCTGATAATATTTACACATTCAATAACGCTTTAAAACATGAAAGTGTATGTTAAATACCCTTTTATCGCAATTAGATTCACATGTTAATTTAATACTCTTATTATCTAACAATGTCTTTCCATCAAAAAGCTCAAACAAGAATCATGAAAACCAAGTAGTTTCATTTATTATATATTACGAAAAAGATTGCAACTCTGCGTTAAAATTACTCGATTATAAAAACTTGATTATGCAACAATTATGCAACAACACAATCAATATTTCAGAGAATTTTCAGTTTACAAGTTCAAAAATTGATAAAGTTCTTATCAATAAGAACACTCCAGTTAATACATTTTGCATTGATAAACCTATAAAACTTTTGCAGATATGTGCTAAATTATACTCTAACAATAAACTTTCTTCTAGTCTAACGAACAAAAATGAGTTTAACAATATTAACGATCCGAATTATAAAAAAATGAAACATAAATTTAATAAAAGCCAGAACTATAAAGGCTGTGAAATTCCTGTTTTTGAAATATGTGTTATAAACGTCGTGGTAACTCGACAAAAACTTTCTAGGTTAGTTCAAGAGTACAGTCAAAAGCACAGCTCGGGCGATCCTAGAGTGTTTAACAAAATATTTTACAGCGTAATAGAAAACATGATTACACGTCGAAAAAGTCAACTATACTTTTCTACTAATCTCGACATATCTTTAGCTATAAATAAACCGCTAACGTCTAAACTTGAAAAGACCTTATTATCATATTTACTCAATTCCTACAGCATTAAAGAATATGCATTGCTTTATAAAAGCGACTGCAATGGCTGTTCTTTTCAATCCATCAAGAATATATTTCGACCTAAAACGCACTATCTAATAGTCGTTAAACTTGATAAAGGTAAATATATATGCTGTTTTAACCTATTTAGCGTGTGTGGAAGAGAATCAATAGACTATCAATACAAGCCATTTATCGCTTTTTTCAACACAAAGACTGGTAATGTGAAAATCTATTTTGACAACTCGCTAAAATCACTTTTAAGAATTCAACACAACAATTATTTAACTATTGGAGATCAGTAAGTAAAAATACAGAATTATAAATTTATTAGGCAGAGAAATGCAATCATTATTTTGAATGACATGAGATACATACAGCTTGAAAATTGTTCAGCTTACAATGTATTTTTGGAACTAGATGTTTCGATAAGCACTATTTTAAGCATAAATATATATAAAATCGGCTTAAACTAAGCTAATTGCAAACAATATTTATTTTGAAGCAATATGTCACGATATTTTTGTAGGATGGGCGTGATAAAATGTTTTAGTTTGATTGATAAATCGTACGGAATTTGCAACTTAAACATTTGTGTTAAAAAAATCAATGCATTAAAATAAGTAATCATTTGATTTTCACCTGCAAAAATTTGTTTACTGAAGTTTTTGATATCGTTGACGACAAATTCTAGAATACTGGTTAATAGACTTATCAACTCAATAACATATTTCACTGGTAAGTTAAGCAGTATAGGTTTTAACTGCGTGTTTGATTGTGACTTAAGTATGTTTAAAATTTCTTTTTTTAACTGCAAAAGCAAATTTTCATCGATTTTCGCGGTGTCAACCTTTAGTTTTTCAATTAAATCGAAGTTTTGTATGATGATGTCAGCAAACTGGTAAGCTGAAACTGCATGAGTAGAAGAAATTTCTGTTTCTTTGTCTTGCTTCAATGTTTTAGGTAATTCCAAAGTGCTCTCGTCTACTTCTTGATTGGAACATGTAAACATAGTAATTCCAGACTCTTTTGAAAATGATATTAAAGAATTTTCATCGTTTATAGAAAGTAAAAGCTGCAGTTTGTTGCAAATAAAAGAACAGTGAACCAAGGTTTTTGAAGTCAGAGAAAGATACCATAGAAATCCGGCGTTTGTGTAAGCTAAAACACAGTTTGGACTTTTCGAATAAGTAAATCCTAGAACATACTCCTCATTGCTTAATCCGATTTTGCGGACAATATTTCCAAATTTGAGCTCCCACATTCTTATAGTCCTGTCAGTCGATCCTGTGACGAGGTAATCATTATTGGCACTGAATAGTACACTAGTTATCAAGTTGGCGTGACCGTATAAAATGTTAAGAATCGAAAAGTCAGTTAGAGACAATATATTTATATTGTTATCTTCATAAGCTAAAGCTAGCAAGCTAAAGTCTTTAGAAAAGCTAGCACACAATACATTATTATGTAAACTCAAGGATTTAGATTCTTTTAGAATTATTTCTTGGTTTGTCGACAAACTTAGTTTGATTTCATACAATTCATTAGGCTCTTTTGTGATAACGTAAAGTTTGTTTTCATGTTGATCCAGTTCAATAAAACTGATGAAATTATTATTTTTTAATGTTAGACTAGATATTATTCTGTTTGAAGCGGAATGGTAAATAACAAGCATGCCCGTGCTGGTAGCAATTATTAATAAATCCGAGTCTAACAATTTCATCTTAGTAAATTTGTGTTCTTTAAGTAATTGCAATTTCAAGGATTCGAAATAATAGTATTGTATATTACTAAACCGAGTAATTTTAGTATCAGATAAAAAATGTAAAGAATAATCGGAATTTAAATGCGTTATTTGCTTGACTTTTCTCGATAAACATAGATTTTCGCCTATTTCGACAAAATCGTTGAACAAACTACAAACTTTTTTATTTTCATTCAATTGATTAAGCGCCTTAATATCGAGGCTCGCCAATTTAAATGAACCTGAAGAAACGCGCAAGTAAACATTAAGTTTTTCAGTTGACTCCAATACAACAGCACTGACTATTTTTCGCGTATCGTTTATTTCTTGTGAAAAGATTTCGAACCTAAAACGAATCAATAATTTATAAAGTTCATTCTGCTCATCGTTACTTGTGTCTAGCTGTTCGAAATTTTTTAAATCTTTTAAAAGATCCAATAACATCTCATATTTGCTGATTAGTTCTACGTTACCTGTTTCGTTTGCAGGTTTTGATATGAATTTTGTAACGTCTTTGTTTGCAAATAATTGTTCGAAGTCGCTTTGCTTCTTTTTTAATTGCCTTTTTTTAATATTCAAGTTGTCAATTTTAGATTTCAAATAAGTATTTGTTCGTTTTATTGCTATTTCTTCAGATTGATATTCAAGTAGTTGAATATAATAATTAGAAAATAACAAAATATTATCTTTGCAAGCTTCATTGTTTTTTTTAACTGAAATTAAGCGTTTAGAGTAAAAACAGTGTTCATTTCTTGAGTTTAATGATTTATTGACCAGTATAGTTTCAAAATTTAAGTTGAAAGAGTTCGATAAAGAAAAAATCTCCAAGTGGTGAAATTTGCATCCAACAATTAAATGTTTTTTATCTTGAGTTAACATTAAAAATAATACTTCATTTCTGCAATGGTTAACACATATGTCAATCATCGCTTGTTTTTTCAAGGACCAAATCAAAATTGATCCGTTTTCAAACCCTACAAATATAAAAACCAAACGATTTTCAGGGTTAGTATCATTTGGATCAGTTACTACTTCAAAGCACGAAATGTTTTTTTGAGGTATACTATATGTATTGGACAAACTAAAATCGAATAAATCGACGATCTGAAAATTACTATTATTTGTCACGACGAATAGTGAATTCAACTCAGAAACAATTTTAAAATCTTTAATACTGTGTTTGTCAAACGATAATTCAGTAAGGAAATTCCTCCCTTCTTCATTGTATATTAATATAGTACCATTGGAATACCCAACAATCAAGTAATCGTAAGCTGAGAAATAACTTATTTTGGTTATAATTGTCCCTATTTGACGATTATCATAATTTAGTCGATCACCGTTATTATATACTTGTCTGTTTGTCTTGAGATCCCAAATAATAAAAATATTTTCGTGAGGAGTAATTATATAATTAGGTGTAATTGCATAAGTCTGCAATTTTGAATTAAAACTTCCTAATAAATTTGATTTTTTGTATATTAAAATTGAGTCCATTTTATCTTGTGTAAAAAGAATTTTGTGTACACAATATTTAAATTGTAATAATCTTTAGTTTCAAATATTTCTATATTCAATGAACGGTAAGTTTATCAAGAAAAGACATTAATGGCCATTTACTCGTTTTGGATAATTATTTCAAAATAAATAAATTTTTTGACAAATTATCTATGTTTGAGTCACGTTTTTATTAATTTCGTACTCAAACAATTATGAGAAACGTAGAAATGCGTTAATATATTTTTTCACAATGTTTTATATCTTATTTTAGACAAAAAATCAGTTATCAATTTGTTTCTTCTTACATATATCGTATATGCATCAGTATATGGAACGAGGTAAGTAATAAACAACACAATAATTTTAGAAAAGCATTCTCTATAGTCAAAACCTCAATGCAGAATGAGCTTGGATTGTCAGCTACTGCATTAGGTATGATCGATACTTGTTTCTTATCAATGTACGCTTTAGGACAGTTTGTAATTCCATCATTACTTATAAGTTCTAGTGTATCTAGCAAACGTGCTATATTATTAATGTATTTCTTATTTGGTACAGCTTCTATCATATTCGGAATGTCTTCAAGTATATCAGTTTTTAATATTTTATGGATTATCTGTGGATTAAGTCATGCAGCTACATTTCCATTGCTTGCCACAATTGTAAATAACTGTTTCGCTACGGAAAATAGAGGAAAAATGATTGGAGCCTGGTCAACATCGCAGCAAGTCGGATCTGTATTATCAACAACTGTTGCTTCATTTTTATTAAGTCATTTTTCATGGAGACATGCAATGATAGTTCCTGGGATCAACTCTATTATCATAGGTTTTTTATTCTATTTTCTTTACGATATCGTCAAAGTTAGCACTCTGTCCAAAAAAGATGGTGAAGCAAATACTCGAAAAATTAAAAACCATTCGAATAGTTTAGGTTTCAAGAATTTATTTAGCTTTGTTTGTAATGCTGAAATTAGTTTGTTAGGATTCTCCTATTTTTGCACTAAATTTATTAGGTACACATTACTCTTTTGGTTGCCTTATTACTATCATGTTAGCCAAAACTTTTCCAAATCTTCAGCAGGATACGTTAGCAACATATTTGATTTAGGTGGAATACCAGGCGGATTTATTGCGGGCTACTTCGCTGACAGATTTCTGCGTGGTAAGAGAACGCTCGTTGCTGCAGTATCTGGATTAATCTCTTCCTGTTTACTAACTTTTTACACAGTGAACCCATATACCAATATTTATTTGGGTTTCGCTTTGATGAGTTTTATTGGTTTTTTTATAGCGTCTGCTGACGCTATTATCGGTGGAGCTGCCGCCAATGATGTGGCTGAAAGAAAACAATTAACAAATATAATTACAATAAGTGGAATAATTAATGGATTTGGAGCCGTAGGAACAATTATCCAAAGTTTCTACACAACTAAAGTAGTGTCGTCGTATGGATGGAACTATTATTTCATTGGACTTGCGATGTTGAGTTTTTTGAGCACAATCTGCCTAATTATACCTTGCATCAGTGAAAATAAATATATAAACTCTATTTGTAACGCAAAGAACAAGAAATTAGCAACGGTCGTATAAAAGTTTTTTTATGTTTTTATTGATTTCAAATAAATAATAAATTTTCTTTGTTTATAAGATTTAATCGTAACAATAAATAAAAAATTTATATGGTAGACAGTTACTATATCACCGCTGCTCTAGCTTACGCTAATGGAAAACCCCACATAGGGCATGCATACGAGTTTTTACTAGCTGATACATTAGCCAGAGCTCACGAAGTTTTGGGAGAAGATGTATTATTACTCGCCGGAACTGATGAACATGGAGAAAAGGTCGCTAACACAGCACAGACTAACAAGAAAACACCAAAGGATTGGGTAGATGAAATAATTCCTCACTATTACGAACTTATTTCTAATCTTGGGATTTCCAAGATTTCTTTTGTTCGAACCACTGATGAATCGCATGTAACGTTCTGCCAACATTTGTGGAACACAGTTTTTAACAAGGGTTATATTTACTTGTCACACTACGAAGGTTGGTATAACACCAAAGAAGAAACTTACATTCCTGAGTCAGAAGCCAAGCTGCACAACTACCAGTGCCCAACCACCGGAACAAAATATCTTAAAAAATCAGAAGAATGTTATTTTTTCCGACTAGGTTTATTCAAAGATCGTTTACTCGAACTGATTGCAAATACAAACTTTGTTCAGCCTGAACAAATAAGAAATCAACTGATTAATAGGCTAACTTCAGATGATCTGCTTGATCTTTGTGTTTCAAGGTCATCTATTACATGGGGTATACCCGTGCCCAACGATCCTGCTCACGTCATGTATGTGTGGTTTGACGCACTCTCTGGGTATATCAGCGGGTTAAATTATCTAGACAAAGACTCTAACTTATCAAAATACTGGCCTGCCTCAATACATTTGATTGGGAAGGATATCAGTTGGTTCCATTGCGTAATCTGGCCTGCAATGCTCATGGCTGCTGATCTCCCTTTGCCAAAGCATGTATTGACTCATGGCTTTATTTTAGATTCCAAAGGTTTGAAAATGAGTAAATCTTTAAACAACATAATTGACCCTGCATCATTATTTTCATTGTACGAAGCAGACTGCATACGATGGTATGCAATAAGAAATACTAACTACGGAGGTGACATAAAATTTTCCTACGAATCATTGGAACTGATGAACAACTCAGAGCTTTGTAATTCCTTCGGAAATTTAGTACATCGAGCCACTTCGTTAGCACAGAAATGTTTTAACGGTATCATACCCGATTGTCCACGAGACTTTATTATTGATATTGGTGATGCCCTAGAAAGAGCAAAGCATATAATCAAAAACAACGCTATCTCTCAACTAGCGGAACTAATACTAACTATGCTACGTGTTACAAATAAATATTTGGCCGATATGGCACCTTGGAAGTTAAAAGATGACCAAGACCAGAAAAATAAAATTATAGTCTCATCATTAGAGGTGATTTATGTTATAGCTCATTTCTTGTATCCAATTTGTCCAAGTTCAGCTTTAACTATTTTCAACAAATTAAGCACACCGAAAAAATCGCTAGCAGACTTAGATTCACACATTAATCTAACTACAGGAACAACGATCTCAGTTGGAGAAATATTATTCAAGCAGATAAAAGTAAAAAATAATTAAATAATATTAATATATATAAATAACTTTAAAAATTAATCAACTTCTTCCATTTTAGCTGCTGATTCTTGAGAAATCTCAATGCTCTCGAGATGAGGTGGTTCTTGGAATTCAGAGTCTTGTATACTTAAGCCAAATTGGATCATTTTATGAATACGAGACGCGAATGTCGCTGGGTTTTCCAAAGAGAAACCTGAAGTTAATAGAGCAGTTTCAAACAAAAGCCAAACTAAGTCTTTGATAGTAGTATCGTTTTTGTCGTTCATGACACGAACTTTAAGTTCCTTTAAAACTGGGTGGTGAACATTAATTTCTAATGTCTTTTTTGCAGTCATGTAGGAAGACATAGTAGTGTCGCGAAGAGCTTGAGCTTTCATGATACGTTCCATGTTAGCGCTCCAACCGTATTCGGAGGTGACTAAGACACATGGACTATTCGTTACTCGTTCAGAAATAACAACCTTTTCAACTTTGTCATGCAAAATTTCTTTGATGACATTGGTCAAAGGTTCGAACTCGTCTTTGAGTTCTTGAAGTTTCTTCTTTTCTTCTTCATCTTCAACTAGGTTCATGCCTTCTTTTGAACAGCATACAAATTTCTTTCCGTCGTATTCAGTTAATTGTTGTACAACGTATTCATCAATTGGGTCAGTCATTAAAATAACTTCATAGTTCTTCTTGTTAAGACGTTCCAAGAAAGGAGAGTTGATAAGTGCTTGTTTGTTTTCACCAGAAATGTAGTATATAGCTTTTTGACTTTCTGGGGCTCTATCGACGTATTCGCGAAGAGAAATTTCTTCATTGACAGATTTGGTGGTTGAATATCTGAGTAATTCAGCTAACTAAAAAAATGTTTTGAGTTGAAATTTTCGGTAAAAATGACTCAGAATTTGCAATAAATATCACAAATGCCTTAAGTTTTACCGAGTTAAATTGTTTCCACATTATAATTCCAAAACGTTCATATAATGTATCCGCAATTTAACGAATCTGCCCAATTATATCTGTTACACAGTAATGACGACTGTGAACATGACTTTGCTGGGCTGGTAGATGATAAACTTACTTTAGCTCTGTTGTTGCTGTCTTCGTGAACACCAAGTTTGATATTCTTACCAAACTGTTCAAAAAAGACCTTATAGTCTTCTTTAGAATCTGTTATCTTTTCGAATAATTCGATACATTTCTTTACAATGTTCTTACGAATAATCTTCATAATTCTGTTTTGTTGAAGAGATTCACGAGATATGTTGAGTGGAAGATCTTCTGAATCGACTATTCCCTTGACAAAAGACAACCATTCTGGAATAAGTTCTTCGGCGTCATCTGTGATGAAGACTCTTCTGACATATAGTTTAATGTTGTTTCTCTTTTTCTTTGTGTCAAAAAGATCGAATGGAGCTCTCTTAGGTACGAAAAGAACACATTTGAATTCGATTTGTCCTTCAACTGAGAAGTGACTTACACATAAATGCTTTTCCCAATCATTTGAAAGAGTCTTGTAGAATGCTGCGTATTCTTCTTCAGTAACATCTTCTGGTTTTCTCATCCAAATAGGTTTGGTGCTGTTAATTGTTTCAAATTCCACAGTTTGCTCTTCTATGGTCTTTGTGTATTTCTTTGGTTCGGTTTCGTTTTCTTCTTTGTTATCAACTTCTTTTCGCTTAGCTTCTTCTAACTCTTCTCCTTCAAGTTCTACTTCGACAGATTTAGTTTTCTTGACAGACAAGCGAATTGGGAAATTGATGTATTCTGAATGTTTTTTAATGATTTCTCTTAATTTCTTTTCTTCAGCGAATTCAAGTTGATCTTCTTTGAGAGAAAGAACTAAGTAAGTTCCACGAGTTAACTTAGGGTAGCATGAATCTTCATTCCATTTAGTTACAGTGAAAGTTCCACCAGCATATGATTCCCAAATATATTGATCATCGTTGTCGTGCTTGGAAATAACGGTAACTTTGTCTGCGATTAAATAAGCTGAATAAAATCCAACACCAAATTGTCCAATAAGGTTGAAGTCTGATGCAGCGCTGCTTGAAGTAATGCATTCCATGAATGATTTAGTTCCAGATCTAGCGATTGTACCAAGATTTTTTATCATGTCTTCCTTAGTCATACCAATACCAGTATCTTGAATTATCAAAGTTTTAGATTCTTTGTCGGGAATAATACTGATTTCCATTTTTGGTTCTACCGTTAAAATTGCTGGATTGGTCAAAGATTCATATCGAATCTTATCTAAAGCATCAGAAGCATTAGAAATCAATTCTCTGATAGCAACCTCTTTGTTGCTGTAAAGAGTATTTACAATAATGCCCATCAGCTGATTAATTTCAGCTGAGAAATTGTATTGTTCACTATCTTTAACACTGCTCATCGTAAATATACTAGTCAAAAAAAAAAATTTAATAATCAACTTTAGCAACGTTATGTCTTTTAGTATTTAAAATATTAAATTGATTTAATTTTATTTAAGAAATAATAAATATAAATTCAGAATTGTTTATATTCGCTGAAATTTTTTCATTATTAGTTTTAAGTCTATTAAGCTAAAATAATTATTCTTATTATTTCTCTTTTAATTGATGAGTCAAAATGAAATTAAATCCTTAGTTTTTCAACGAATCGAAGAAAAATTCAAGCTTGAATCACATGATAATATCAATAATAATGTAAAGAATTTCTATCAAAAGTTAGGAAAAAAACTTGCAAATTATCAAGGAGCTAAATTACCCAAATCAATCAAATTAGTTCCAAATACTCAATACATTTACGAAATACTAACGTTAATGGAACCAGAAAGTTGGAATGCAAGTATTGTTTGTAAATCTGCTCCACTTTTTCTTTCTCATTCTAAATATGCACTGCAATGTTTTTGCATTTTGGTCCTACTACCTCATACGAAAAAACATCTTTTAGAAAATAGCAAATTACATCCTAATATATATCAGGCTGTTTTGACCTGTTCTCGCAGACCCGAAATATTTATTAAACATTTTTTTGTTCCATTATTATTTGACGAAGCTATTTCGATACATCATGTATCGATTCTAAATTCTATAATTTCCAAAGTTTCTTTGCCAAGTAAATATTTATCACTTTTAATACTTATTTTACTTTCTTCTTCAGACTACTCGAAAAAAATTATATTTGTTTTATCTGCAATATTAACAAAGAAAACTAAATTAAACGAAAAAATAATTGAGAAACTAGATAAGTTTTATCAAAATTATTTCACGAATTTCGAAAACTATTCTCTTATTGAATGGCAAAGTTTATTATTATTTTTAAATTCATGGTCAGATTCCATTAAAGATGAAAATTTATTATCATATAAAAATATTTTGAAAAAATGCAACAATAAAAACATAAAATCAGAACTCTTATCAAAACTAAAATGATATAGTTATATTTTTATAAATTTAAATTATTAATTTTATAGTTTAATAATTTTAAAAATGCACTTGCCGGGAATCGAACCCGGGTCATATCGATGGCAACGACACATTCTCCCACTGAACCACAAGTGCTTATAAAATATAAAAGTTATTGATGCATTCTGTGGGTTTTGTATTGTCTCCGTTTGATTTTTTCATGTATAGTATTTTTTTTTATTACGGTGTAACATACAATTGCATTATCATGATGAATTGATTTCACGACAGTCTTATGATTAAGTTTGTGATTATTTATTAAATTCTGAACAAACAATTTTATCTATGATGAGAACTACAAATATTCAACTAAAATAGTTGCTTATTAAGTAGGAATCTTTCTGAGATGATTTTATTTATTCAGCGTACTATGATAAGAAAAATTATCTTGCAATTTCAAGTTATTCAATTTTTTTCTTATCTTAGATGCGCAACACTAAACAGCTAATATATTCTTGAATAATATCATTTCTTTATTGATATTAAAAACCATATTAGTTACATTAATTTAATACTCTTAAATTATTTAATAACTATTTTTTTGATTCATAATTTATATATCTATGGCAGGATTGATCAGATCAAAAGATGTTTCTTTAGGTACGTTGGTAATACCTAACGAACAGATCTTTCCCATCATCAATTTACTAGGTAGAAAAAAGTATCTGATGATTGAGGACATGAACGAAAAATTAAGTTTAAGGCCTTATACTGAAGAAATTACCCGAATGTTGATAATACAAAAACAAATATTACAGTTAATAGACAAAATATCAAAAGTAACGAACGTTATTATTGATACAAAATTTAATGATCAATTTTTATACGAAATAAATAATTACTCTTCAGATTCAATTGAAAACACTTTGAAGAGCTTTTTGGAACAAATTACATTGTTTGAAACTACAAAAAAAGAATTAGAAGAAAGTCGAAATAATTTAATTCGTGAACGTATAATCTCTTTTGTTTCTATGGAACAATATTCACAATATAAAAAGCAGCATATACAATTAAACTCAACATCTAGCTCAAATATAGCGAATGAAATAAAAAGCAATATCTTGTCTACAATTTCTGGCATAATTATGCAAACAAAATCACTTAAATTTTGCAATACTTTGCTTCGAATAACTAGAGGAAATATATATATAACATTTGAATCAATCCCACAAAGTCTATGTGAAGGAAACGACAGTATTCAAAATTCTTTAGTTTTTATTATATATATTTTAGGAAATCAAGATTCTACAATATCGAATAAAGTTTTACAAGTATGTAGAACTTTTGAAGTTAAAACTTCAATGTGGCCTAATTCATATGATGATGCTTTGATAGCTTTTGATTCATATTCTAATGCAATAAACGAAAAAACCATTACATTAGAAGCATTTGAAACTGTTTTCAATAATGAATTATTATCAATAACGCAACTCAATGAAGGATCTAATTTAACTTTAATTCAAGAATGGCTAATTTACATTCAAAATCAGCTTACTATTTATGAAACTTTAAATTTATTTGAGCACACAGAAACTACTGTAAGGGCGAATTGTTGGTACCCTAGCAATTTACACACGACAATAGCTAATGATATTGCAAATTTAGCTAACAATAATTCAATGAATTGTTTATTTTTATGTAATGGAAAATATAATAAAGTCAAACCAAGTTTATTTTACGAAAACCAGTTTACAGAATGTTTTCAGTCAATCATAAACACATACGGTATTCCCAGATATAAAGAAATTAATCCATTAATTTTTACTATAGTAACTTTCCCATTTTTGTTTGGAATAATGTATGGCGATGTAGGGCATGGACTAGTGTTTTTACAATTAGTATTACTATTATTTTATTTCCAAAAAGCTCTCAAAAATCAAAACAATGAAATAATTCAATTGATTATTTTTGGACGTTATTTATTATTACTTATGGCACTTTGTTCAATTTATGTTGGATCGATCTATTACGATTTTTTTGGTATACCACTTAATAATATAAATTTAAAAAGTATTACTAATACTGATGATTACAAGGTTCCATATGGTATTAACCCAATTTGGAAAATATCTGAAAACGAATTAGAATTTCTCAATTCTTATAAAATGAAATTATCTATGATTATTGCATTTGTACATATGCTAATTGGAATTATTAATAATGGAATTAATTTGTTATATTTCAGACAAAAAATTCAAATGTTATTAATTTTTTTACCTAAGCTAATCTTGTTCGTTTCGATAGTTGGATATTTTGTTTTTCTAATAATTTTTAAGTGGTTGACACCTTATCATCATGAAAAACGTCCCGGATTGATTAATTTAATAATAAATACATTTATGGGACGTGCATCTTATGAAGATGGAATTTATTATATTGCAGAACCACAAATAGAAAATATTTTATTTAAACTGGTACTTTCTGTAACCATAATATTATTCACTGCTTACCCACTATATATAATTATACGTAATATAAAAACAAAAACACATCAGAATATTGATTTGCCAACTCTCGAAGATGAAGATGAAAAAGAGTCCACGGGAGATGCAATTATTCATCATTTAATTGATTCAATAGAATTTGTTTTAGGTTCTATCAGCAATACGGCTTCATATTTACGATTATGGGCGTTAAGTTTAGCACATCAACAACTATCTATTGTGTTTTTGAAACAAATACTGTTGGGTTCGCTTAAAGCTCCCACATCACGTAGTTCAATTTTAAAATATATCACAAGTGCTGTAGGTGCGCTCATAGCCACGACATTATTTGCAGTAATCACTGTATTAATCATGATATGTATGGATATACTAGAGTGTTATCTGCATACATTAAGATTACATTGGGTTGAATTCCAAAACAAATTTTTCTACGGAGATGGTAAACTATTCATTCCTTTTTCAATAAGCGTTGCTGTATTAACAGATGAGTAAAATTATTAATCCATAACTTATATAATTATATTTTGAAATTATATAAAAAAAATTTACGATGTTAAATTTTATTGTAAATTATGATACAAATTTCTGATTTAGATAACGTTATTTTAATCGTTTTATTTAATAATTTTACGAACCAATAAGTGATATAACAATAAAAAATATTTTCTGTTTCGTTATACTATAATATTATTAATCTATGTTTTTGATGAACAACTTCCTCATCCCAGGAGTATGTTTTTATTGTCAAGGTTGTAATCTAAATCGTACCCACCTATAAGATACGGCGTAAAACACAATCAACCTTTAACATAACAACTTAACAATGGTTTTACTGACTTTAACAATTCGTATTTACATTTTCTAAAAAACTTTAAATAATCATGTTAAATAACATTATTTATTGCATTTAATTGAGAATAACTATAGTGTCTAAATCATAGTCCTTTTAATAAACGTTTTATGATATAAAATTAATATTTAAATTTTAAATTTGATAAGGGTTAGATATATGTAAAAAAAATTATAAATTGATTAATTATGAATATAATATATAATATTTTTGTTTGTTATTACAAATTATAGAACACGTCTCTTATGAACATTGATGACCTTAAAAGTTATTTAAAAATCACACGATCATTAATATTGAATCATGAATTCAGTTATAAAAAGTTACTTAAATACCAATTATTATTAAAAAATATAAAAGACGAATGTATCGCGAAAAACTATGAAAATACAATAATTAATAGCTCAATTGAAAATTTATCCGAGTGTAATCTTATCGAAGAAATTAATAAATTACAGTTTTCTTCATTAAACAATTTAAATTCATTTGAAGATCAAGTCAAATTTTTTTGTGATTCGTATCTAAATCAGTATTGTATCACTTCGAGTTTGCAAGAGATATCAGAAGATTTTGAGGAGCCAAGTGCTAGAAGCAAAATAATAAAACAAAGTATTTTAGTTCTGTTAAAACATTATCTGTTATTATTGCAACAAGAAAACTTTGATAAGTTAAGAAACTTTAAATCCTATTATTTCATTGTGAATCAGAATAACCAAAAGTCAGTCAATTTTCCATATATCATTTATTATGGAACAAATGTACCTTATCTTTTTCAGCATTTAACTAAATTACTATTTATGTACTCAACAAAATCATATAAAGTTCCAGAACTAAATGATTTTTTTGAAGAGTATTCTTTGTACAGATATCAATTATTAACTTTTCAAAACACGTTAAAACAATATTTAAATCATATTATACTTACACATAAAAGAATCAATCCTCTAAAATTACAATTAGAAGTTTTTTTAGATATTATTATTAATGAGAAGACTTTTTTGAAGTCATTTGTGAATTTGTCAGATGAATATGTAAATAAATTTTTAAAACTTCTTTGCTCAAAGTTTAGTTTGTACGCTAAAAATAATTTTTACGATCTAGATAATAAAATATATAATATTAGTAGTATAAAATCTGTTGAAGAAAATATTTTGAATACTACAAAATATAAATATAGACAATCAGAATATAAAAATATTTTAAACTTTCTGATTGAGCCTATTGTTGAATGAAAACAACTAATTTAGCTGATATGAAACAAACAAGTCGTTATTGTTTAATCACATTCAGTTTTATAATTTATTTATTGTATCGAACAAAAATGTTAATATGCTTTCATCCTAGTTGATTTAAATTTTTACATAATTAATCATTTGCAGATATATCTTAATGATATAGCATACTTATAGATAGTTAATTTTCCTAAAAGCATATTAGATTTAATAATGATATAAATTTGAATAAACCCTAGCAATATAATTATTAGTAATAGTTATCGGAGTAGTAATTAAATTTTAGCTATATCTTTATGTATTTAAGTAAGTAATAACGAATCTTAGTGCAATACTTTATGGAAGTATTGATATACTTATATTTAATTAACAAAAACGGTATGCTAAACTTTTATATTACATATTATTAACTAGAAACAATTTATTATTTGTTTTTCTTTATAAATAATATCTCAGTATATCACATATTGTGATAAAAAAATTATGTCGATATATATTATTTCACAAGAGAACAATCTAGATAACAAATAGAATGAGCATATAATACTTTTACATATAAAAAATTATCTTATTTTCTGGAATGTTATACGATTTATAGTAATCTTAGTTATTGACTTTATAGTCAATATTATTTATTTTTGATTAGCTTGTTTAAAAGACGTAAATTTATATAAAAAATATGTACGCATTTTGCAATTAGAACGAGTTTATATTTAGATGATTTATCTCGTACTAACTATACTTTATTGTTAATATGTAACCTAATTCTGTTTTACTATTAGATCAAAATAATACTTATACTTTTTGATATTAAGCGATAAAATTTATAAAAAACATCATCTAATTCATCGGATATAAACACAGTATTATATTTATTTTACTTGCATTACTAATAAAACTATACTTACCAATTACAAAAATATAACAAATGATTGCTAACACTTAATAATAAAGTATTATTTTAAATATACGCACGTTGACTAATATATGTAATTTTGAATTTATACTTAAGAATTTTTTAATGGATTAGTATAAGATGATGGTTATTGTAATTTTCTTCATTAATATATAAATAATAAGCACCGTTTCTAATAGATATGAAAAATTTAAATTAATATAATACACATAAATAATTGGTGATCGTATTTAAAAACTACAACATTCAATATTTCAAATTATCAAAAATAATATATTAACTTCTGTTACACTATCGTATTCTAACTTTAAAGAATTTGCTTGTATCTCAAAGTAATAATTTATTGTTTTATTAATATAAATTTTGTTATTAGAATGATATATAATATTTTTAATTTGATTAGAACATTGGTGTTGTAAAATATAATAACTACTTTAATAATGTTGCCACAATTAATTCAATTGTTATTAGGTTATTAGTATACTTATTCTAAACTATCAATTATGATCAAATTTTATGTTAGTTTTTAACTATATTGCATAAATAATGATTCTATTATTTGTTATATTGTTTTATATCCCATTATCGATTCTATTATTATAGCATTTGTTGAACCTTAAGTTACTCTTTAAAACGTGCGTGTCATTATATTGTTATTAGTAAATTAAATAAAAAGTAAAACAAATAATGACGCATTTTGAAACTTTCTATACAATACAGGCATACCAAGTTTTATAAATCGTTGTAAAAAATTTACAGGTGTGGTATAAGCTATATAACAGTTTTTTGTTTAATAAGTATTTTTCATGAATTAGATTAATTTTAATTTTAGGGTTTAGGGTTTAGGGGTTTAGGGTTTAGGGTTTAGGGTTTAGGGTTTAGGGTT